ATGGCTACGGTCGAAATGAGGCGGGGGATTAGGATACGAATGGATGATGGGGGGCGGGGGAAGGGGGATGGGGGACGTCGAGGAGGAGGAATGGCAGGAGGCGGTGGAGGACAACGATGAGGAGGAGGCGGGGGAGGAGGAAGAGGTGGTGGAGGTGAAGCATGAACGGGAACAGGAACATGAGCAAGAACATGATGATGAAGAGGAGGAGGGGGAGGAGGAGGAGTTGAGGAGGCGGAGGGGGAGGAGGATGAGGAGGAGGAGGGGGGGGGGGGGGGAGGCTGATGAGCAGGAGACGCAGCCATGATCACGAATGATGGCGAGGGAGGAGGAAGGGGAAGAGGAGGTTGAGGACGAGACGGAGGTTGATGATGATGACGAATGGCAGGACTACGGGGACTAACATGAGAAGGACGACTGAGGATGCGGATGATAATGATATGGATGATGATGGTGATTCTGATCATGATGGTGGTGATGATGCTGATGATGGTGGTGGTGGTGGTGCTGATGCTGATGCTGATGATGATGACGCTGATTCTGACGATGCTGCTGCTGCTGATGATGCTGATGGTGATGATTATGTGGATGCGGGTGATGCTGATGCTGATGCTGATGATGCGGATGCTGATGTTGCTGATGATGCTGCTGATGATGATGCTGCTGCTGATGACGATGTCGATGCCGACGACGAGGCTGCCGATGCTGCTGATGATGCTGATGATGATGCTGATTCTGCTGCTGCTGATGATGATGATGATTCTTGTGGTGATGATGCTGATACTGATGCTGACTACGCTGCTGATGATGTTGGTGCTGATGTTGATGAGGCTGCTGCTGCTGATGGCAATGCTGGTGATGACGATGCTGGTGATGATGATGATGCTGCTGATGATGATGCTGCTGATGCTGATGCTGCTGCTGATGCTGATGGAATGATGATGCTGAGGAGGATGATGTTGATGATGAAGATGCTGCTGATGATGATGCTGATGACGATGCTGCTGATAGTGATGCTGATGATGCTGACGACAAGCAGGAGGTGAGGTGACGGGTCAGGAGGAAGAGTAGGAATAGTATGATGAGAGCGAGGATGCGGAGGGCGGTATGGGGGTGACAGCAGCAGGTTCAGGTTCATGGCCAGACGTAGCAGCAGGAGCAGGTGGGGATGCTGATGCTGATGATGATGCTGATGAAGATGCTGATGATGATGATGATGATGATGATGATGATGATGCTGATGATGCTGATGATGGTGATGATGATGATGCTCATGCCGATGATGATAATGATGATGGTGGTGGTGCTGATGATGTTGATGGTGCTGATGCTGATGCCAATGCTGATGCTGACGACGGTAAAGGTGTTGATGAGGCTGAAGAGGTTGATGATGCTGAGAGTGATGATGAGGATGAAGGTGATGATGATGGTGAGGATCCTGAGGTTGATGACGATGCTGATGATGCTTAGTATGTTCATGGTGGTGGATCATGTCGATGACGATGCGGCTGATGATGATGCGGATGCTGCTGATGATGCGGCTCCTCCTTCTGATGTGAATATTGATTATGATGATGAGGGCGAGCATGATGGGGACTGGTGGAAAGGAGGAGGACGAGGAACACAAGGAGGAGGTAGGAGGCGAACGAGCCAGTAATACGATGCTGGTGGTGTTGAGGACGAACGCGACGAGAATGGTGATGCTGTCGCTGTTGTTGCTGATGATGCTGATGATGATGGCGATGATGCTGGTGACGTTGTTCACACGTTTGCTGCTTCTGTTGAGGGTGGTGATAGTGGGGCTGCTGATGATGATGATGGTGGTGGTGATGGTGAGGATGGTGATGATGATTGTGATGATGCTGGTGATGGCGGTATTGTTGCTGCTGGTGATGATGATGATGACGATGGTAGTGATGACGATGACGACGGTTGTTGTGATTATTGGGATGCTGATGTTGATAACGATGATTCGGATGGCGACGATGCTGATGAGGGTGATGAGGCTGTTGATGATTATGATGAGGAGGATGAGGCTGACGATGATGACGATGATGATGATGATGATGGTGATGCTGCTGCTGCTGCTAATTCTGATTTGTATGACGATGCTGGTGATGCTGCTGATGATGATGCTGCTGATGATGCTGATGATGCTGCTTGTGCTGATGATGGTGATGGTGATGACGATGGTGATGCTGATGATGATGATGATGATGCTGATGATGCTGCTGATGGTGCTGATGGTGCTGCTGATGCGGATACAGCTGGTGATCATGATGATGCTGATGATGCTGATGATGTTGATGCGACTGACAATGATACTAATGATGCTCCAGGATATGCAGATGTTTCTGAGTATGCTGAGTATGTGGAGGGAGAGGAGGTGGAGCTGGAGAGGGGGGATGATAAGACGGTGCAGGAGGATAATAATGGGGGTTGGGGAGGGTGAGGATGGGGAGGAGGAGGATGAACCTGATGAGGAGGAGGAGAAGGAGGAGGAGTGAATGTGGGGAGGAGGAGGAAGAGGAGAACCCCTGTTAACAGTAGGAGCAGCCTCGGCCTGAGGACCAAATGAACTGGTTGATGGAGATGGACACCGAAGAGGCGAGCGTGTGCGATCGCCCTGCGTCGTCCTGGCTCGTGGCACGCTACCCCTCTCCAGCCTACCGCTTCCCCTCCCCCTCTCGTCCCCGCCCCCTTCCCCATCCCGCGGTCTTATATATAGCCCCCTTGTCGCACCACTGGGCGCGTCGGCTGGGCGGGCCAGGCGTTTCGCGTGATAACTCGCACATATTATGTCCCGCAGCGTGACAGACTCGACATGTACACATATTTCGACCAGGTGGTTTTCAAGTTGTGCCTCTGGACTTGGTGACGCGCGCGCTCATCTCGATTGGTTGCAAACGTCACGTGGATATATTTGTACATACGTAGGTGCGTGTATTAATGCCTGTATGCATGCATGCATGCATGCATGCATGCATGCATGCATGCACGCATGCATGCATGCATGCATGTATGTATGTATGTATGTATGTATGTATGTATGTATGTATGTATGTAGGTATGCATGTATGTATGTATGTATGTATGTATGTATATATGTATGTATGTATGTATGTATGTATGTATGTATGTATGTATGTATGTATGTAATGTAATGTATGTATGTATGCATGCATGCATGCACGCATGTATGTATGTATGTATGTATGTATGTATGTGTGTATATATGTATGTATGCATGTATGTATATGTATGTATGTATGTATATGTGTATGTGTATGTATATGTATGTATGTATGTGTGTATGTATGTATGTATGTCTGTCTGTATGTATGTATGTATGTATGTATGCATGTATGTATGTGTGTGTATGTATGTATGTAGGTAGGTAGGTAGGTAGGTAGGCATGTAGGTAGGTAGGTAGGTAGGTAGGTATGTAGGTATGTAGGTATGTAGGTATGTATGTATGTATGTATGTATGTATGCAGGCATGTATGTATGTATGTACGTATGTATGTATGTATGTATGCATGCATGCATGCATGCATGCATGCATGCATGCATGTATGTATATATGTGTGTCTGAATTTATGTATGTCCCAACCCTCCTATGGCTGGGTACTCCAGATTTCGTAATAAAGGGAGGGGGGTCTCATTTCGGGGGGGTCTCTTCGGGGCTATCTTGGAGGGCCTGGGGGGGGGGTCTGGGGACGATGTTTTGGAGGGTTCTCCCACAGGGTCCTCCTCCTCCTCCTCCTCCTCCTCCTCCTCCTCCTCCCCTCTCCTCCTCCTCCTCCTCCTCCTCCTCCTCCTCCTCCTCCTCCTCCTCCTCCTCCTCCTCACTCCACGTCCCCAGAGTCTCCCCGATGCGCCCAAGAAAGTCCCCAGCGACCCCTCCAGAGCGTCCAAAGAGCCTGACGTCGTTATCTTTCTAGTTCTTCGCTTCGCGCATTCCGCTGGCCCAGACTGCCTCGCCGCGGCCGTCTGTCGGGGTGTTGCTGTCAATGCGGTGCGGTTGGGCGGCTGCTATTTCTCGGAGGCGGTGGTTGGCGGGCCAGAGGCCTCACGGATGTTGGTTGGGCTCTCGTGGTTGGCCTCTCAGGGGCCTTTGGGAGGGAGTTTTGAGGCCTTTTGGGGGCCGTGTTGGGGCCTCTCGGGGCCTCTTGGGGGCCTCTTTGGGCTTCTTGGGGTGCTTCTTGGGGACCCCTTGGGGCCTCTTCGGGGCCTCTTGGGGCCTCCTCGGGGCCTCTTGGGGCTGAAGGCTGGACTTTTCGGTTGCTGGTCACCTTCTTGGGCCCCTCTTGGGGCCGTTTTGGGGCTCTCTTGGGCCGTCTTGGGCGCCTCGTAGGCTGTCTTGGGGCCATCTTGGGCCGTCTTCCGCTGTCTTGGGGTCCTCTTGGACCCTCTTGGGGCGATGTTGGGAGCCTCTTGGGCCATCTTGGAGCGTCGGGACGCCGAAAAAGGAGAAACCCCGACATGTGTCCAAAACCCATGGCAAAACAATTAAGTTTGCCTCTTGGGCCCTCCTGGAAGTGCTTTTGGAGGCCTTTCGGGGCGTCTGGAGGCCATGGTGGGCGTCTGGGAGCGATCTTGTGGCATCTCGGAGCCCTCACGTCCTACCTTGGGGGCGTCTTGGGGACTTCTTGGCTTCTCTTGGGGCTCTCCGGAGGGCGTCGAGGCCAGCGGCCAGGAGAAAATGGGCCGTCTAAAAAAATAGCAATAAGAACAAATAATAAAAACAAATAACAGCATACAATAACACATAAAAAAGAGAAAATGTGCCGTCTGTGGGGCCTCCGGTATCCAGGCACTCGCCGGGACTTTGGCGGGGTACTTCTCGCGTCGGGGCTCCCAGGGGCCGCCTCGCGCGCGCGAACTTGTTATATGGTTAACATGTTGCCGGAGATCTTCGCACGCCTCTGGTCCGTTGGGCCGGCGAATTTCCTTGACAGAACTTCGGGAGCCTTGAGACGGGGGTCCATGCAAACGGGGGTCAGCCAGAGCGCCCGATCTTGCAGGATCCTGCAGGGCCAGGGTCGCATTGACCCGGGTTTGGGTGCAGGATCCTGCAGGATCTTGCAGGATCCTTCGCATTGACCCGGGTTTGGGTGCAGGGTCTTGCATGATTTTGCAGGATTCTGCAAGGCCTGGCTGACCCGGGTCTGGATTGACCCGGGTCAGGAGATCCCCGCTTCTGGCCAGTTGGGCCGGCGAATTTCATTGACAGAACTGCGATTTGTTAGCACATGCATGTTCTGGATTTTGTTTAACAGCGTCCAAGATGGCCAAACAGGCTCCCAAGATAGCCCCACGCCGGCCCAAGAGAGCCCCAAGAGGCCGCCAAGACAACCGAAGAGGGCACCAAGACGGCGTAAGGTCGCTCCAGGACGGCCCAAGATCCCCCCACGACAGCCCGAAGAGAGCTTCAGCGCTGATCAGCGAATCCCGAAACGCGAATTAGCAAAGTAGCGCCTGGCGCTATCCCATCCCGCTGGGAGAAAAAAAACAGAACACCCGATCGTGATCGCGCGCAAGCAAGGCTGACGCGGACCCGACAAGGACAAGCCAAACACACATCGCCCGATGCCGCTGCAGGGCCAGAGCGGCGCGGAGGGCGCGAACGCGCCCGATGGGGATCGACGCTGGGCCAGCGCGCGTGGTGGACGCGCCTCCTCGAAGGCGATGACCCTCCGCGCGAAGGTCAGGAGGGAAAGAACACACACAGACACAATGAACCCTCGATCCCCCAGAAGATCTGGGAAAATACGGGAAGTGGGGGGGAAGACAAAAACCTAGAAAGTATGGGAGCATATGGGGACTAGTTTTGTTCGTGTGTGTATTTCTCTGTGTGTCCTGGGGCCCCTTCAGAAGGGGCGACCACACTTTGCGCAGCGGGCCCGCGCATGAAGAGTCGCCGCGGGGTGCTCGCCCACGAGAGCAGGCGATAAGCCACGTGAGCCGACCGACCTGCGGCGGGGCGTTGGAGCACGTGGGCTCTGCCGAGGACGGATGTCGCGCGTTGGCGACGACGTGAGCAGTGCAGACGTGTCGTTCCTCCTCCACGTGGCCTTCCTCCTCGCTCCTCTCTTGACTGCATCGTTCTGCCGCCGCTCGCGCCGGTCCTCGTGTCCGCCTCTCTTCGGCCTCCCCCTTCCCTCTCCCCTCCCCGTCGCCCACCGTTCCCGAACCTTGACGCTTCTCTCCAATCGCCGCCGGCCTATCCAGAACAGATGCCCGCGCGAGTTGTCTTATTCGCTTCGTGGGGGCCTCCTGGAGGGATCTGGGGAGGAAGGAGAGGCGGTGGAGGAGGAGGAGGAGGAGGAGGACGAGGAGGAGGAGGAGGAGGAAACGGGGGATGATGATGTGCAGCAGGAGGAATGGGGAACAAAAGAGGGATGATAGGGGATGATGAGCAGGAGAAGCGACATGACGTTGAGGAGGAAAGGACGCATGGGGACGCCTTCGCAGATCTTTTGCCGTTAGAGCCTCGTGAGGTGGCACTGGGGTAATTTTTGGCCCTTCTTCGAAGTAGTCTTGCCCCCCTCTTGGGGCCCGTTCGGTGTTTTCGTGCGTTCTTTGGAGGGGTATCCGGGCCCTCATGAAGCGATTTTTGGCTCCATGGCGTATCGTGGCATGGTTCTTAATGTCCCCCCCCCTCCTCGGAGGCCCAACAATTGCATCTTGTGGCCGCTTGGAGCGTTTTTGGGGGCCTCTAGGGGGCGTCTTCGGCCCCTTGGTCGCCTCTGTGGGCTCCATTGGACCATCTTAGGGCCATCTTGAAACCACACAGAAGCATGGAACCGACACTAAGAGAATGCCGTGTCCATTTGGTTCCCCTTGGCTCTGGACAGACTTGGGCATTGTGTGAGCATCCCTGGGAGGCTCAGTGGCCACTCGGGACTGTCTTGGGGGTCTTGGGGGCCTCTTGGAGGCATCGTGGGATCCTGAGGCCCATGTATCAGGAGGGAAAAAACACACAGACACAATGAATCGTCGACTCCCAGGAAATGATGGGAAAATATGGGAAGTGGGAGGGAACACACACACACACAAAGCCAGAAGATATGGACAAGTATGGGGGATCCTGTTATTTGTGTGTATTTATCTGTGTGTCCCAGGGCCCCTTCAATGTAGCCGTGCTGGCTCGACGGCCTCCCAATATGATCCTCGTGCCTCGGAGCTCCAGCTTCGAGGCTCGGTTTGCTGCTGTGGGGGTATGACTCTCGTGGGGCACCGGGAACCTGTGCCAGGTTAGAGGACCACATGTGAACCCTACCCCTACCCCCCCACGATTTCTGAGGCGGAGGGTGGGGTTCACTTCGCTCGGGAGCCTCCGATCGAAGTGAACCCCACCCTCCCCCTCAGAAATCGTGGGGGTAGGGGTAGGGTTCGCATGTGGTCCCCTACAGGTGTCGTGCCCTGGACTGTGCCGCGTGCCGTGCCAAGTGCTGTGCTGGTTGCCGCCCGCGTCCGCGGGAGGGCTCCGAGCAACGCCAGTCTGAGCAGCCCAGGCAGGCTCGGCGCATCCCCTCGGGTTCCTGGTCGTTCACGAAAAGCACGCCGCGCTGCAGTCCAGTCGGGATTGCTGCGACCTGGCGGGCGCTCAGCGTTTCGCTAGGCACGAGGAGCGTGGCTTTGGGCGGCTGGCCATCTTCGTGGCCCGTCGCCAGCGACACCTCGACTCCTCCCAGAGTGTCCCGAGGCGCCCTCCGGCCGCGAGACGCGGTCAAAGGGAGGTGCCTGGGGCCCGGGGGCCTCTGAGGTTCAAGCCGTGGTGTCCCGAGGCGACCCCCCAGCCGCGAGACGCGGTCAAGGGGGGCTATTCGGAAGGCGTTCGAGGTTGCCGCCGTGGCGTTCCGAGGTGCCCCCCCGGCCGCGAGGCGCGGTCCAGGGGGAGTGCCCAGGGGGCGCCCGAGGTTGACGCTGCGGCTTCTCAAGGCGGCCCCCCGGCCGCGAGACGCGGTCAAGGGGGGCGTCCGAGGTTGAAGCCGTGGTGTCCGAGGCGATCCCCCGGCCGCGAGTAGCGGTCATTGGGAGGTGCCCGTGGGGGCGTCCGAGGATGAAGTCGTAGTGTCCTGAAGCGCCCCCCCCAGGCCGCGAACCGGTCAAAGGGAGGTGCCCAGGGGCTTCCGGGGTTGACGTCGTGGTGTCCTGAGGCTCCCCGTCTGGCCGCGAGACGCGGTCAAGGGGTGGAGCGGCTGGGGAGCTGTGTCTTGTGGTGCCCTGTCGGCAGAAGAGCCTCAAGAGGAGTTCCAGCTGACCAATTTCTGTTAAGCACCTACGGATTTTCTGGCTGTGCCTCTGGAATTCTTCATTTGTCTGCCGAAGATTGTTCCTCAGGGGTTTCGGGCAGGCGGCGACCGTTTCAAGAGGCCTTCCGAGGTCATCAGTTTGGCCTCGAGTGCCCCCAAGGCCCCAGAGACCGTTCAGCGGATCCATCCTCGGTCCCAGTAGGCCCTCAGATGGTCCGAAAATGTTTTGAGATATCCCAGCTCCCTATTTGCTCAAAGAGCCCAAGAGGTCCTAGCGGTTTCCGAGCGGCCACCCACACAGCCACTTGAGAGTCATCACAGGTCTCTCTGCTGGCCCAAGCCAGAGGCCCAAGGAGTTCTGTTCCAACATGGTCTTCAGATACGGCCCCGCGAGCCCACGAGAGCCACATGAGGGCCTCTTAGTTCCTCCGATCCTCCTTTTCTCCCCCCCTTCTCGATCGTACCTCTTTTGTCCTGCCACATCCTCTCTCTTCCTTCCTCGCTCCCCCATTCCCGCCTCCCTTCTTCTCTTATTGTTTCTCCCTCCGCCGCCCCTCTTCTCTCATCCATTATGCGGCCCGTCTTCTCGCTTGTCCCTCCTCCTTCCCTCCTCGTTCTTCCCTTCCCTCTCTAACCCTTCCTCTGTGCAAGGAGCGTGGTTGCACTTGCGACCTCCAGCCCAGGCTTCCAGGGCTCTTTTGTCGGATTCCCCGTTCCTGCGCTATCCGAGCTGCACGTTCCCGGGGTTGTTGGATTTGTCGGGTGTCTTGCAGTGCATTTGCATTGTATGTGTATGTGGCCACGAATGCTTCGTAACCTATGTCCTTGCAATTCCTTGCGTTTGGTTTGCTAAGGGTTCCTTGAATTGCTTTGCGTTTCTGTGTTGCGATGGGTTGCCGGTTGCCGTTGCATCCGATTCGCATGATGATGTTTTTTGTTTTTTTGTTTTTTTTTGATTCCATTGCCATTGCAGCGCATTACATTACTTTCGCGAATTTGCGCTGTTTTGCATTGCGTCGTGTTGAAGATGCCTGGGCGTGCCTCTGACGGTAATGCTCGGACCGCCTTTGTGCTATTTTTTAAACTCATGGCCTTCACGTGTGGGTACGTGTGCACATGGGCGCAGTTGTGAGCGTGTCACAGGCGGACATCCGCGCCAGTGCCCCAGCGTCGCGCGCAGTCTTCTCAGACTGTTGCAGCAGCTCCCAGGCTGAGCGACGGTGGCGGCATCGGAGACTTCCTGCAGCGCGGAGCCTCGGGACGCCAACACGTGTGGCGCCTGCACGGGTGGAGGGCGGCTCCTCTTCGGTTGAGGCCTCTCGCTCGGGACTCCCTGGGAGCATGCGGCCAGGTGCACAGACGTGTGCAGCAGCTGCACGGCCGGGGGGGCGCGGGGTAATTTTTCAAAGCGAGGATCTCGGAGGACGCCTCGCTGGTCTGCGTGCTGATGCCTGCTCGCGCTCTTGATGCTGCGCCCCAGCGGGCACAGCATAATGGAGGATGACGATTAATAAATGACCGGGGGTCGTGTTCACGCGGCGGCGCCCGGGATGACGATTAGAAAAAACCGGCCGCGGGCTGGAAAACTATGTTCTAAATCGTTCTCCTCCAGTCAGAAAATGGTGCAGAAATAGCAGGAAACTATTTTTTTAATCGTTCCCCCCATTTTTTCATTAATCGTTATCCCGAGTTAGTCTCTGCAACGCGGGGCGCTCGCCTGCATGGCAGGCTCGTGCGGTGCTGGCCATGCGATGGGGGCGCCTCTTGTGGTGGCGGGGAGGCCTGCACGGGCGCGCGCGGGGAGGTGGCCTTGGGACGGGTTGGGTGCGCTGCAGCATCGCTGACGCATCGTGAGTTTTCTCTGGTTCTCCTCCTCTTCCTCCTCCTCCTCTCCCGCCTCCTCCTCCTCCTCCTCCTCCTCCTCCCCCTCCTCCTCCTCTAGTCTTCGTTCCCGTCTACGTTCCCCTCTGGGTCCCACAGCTGAAAGAGAAGTGGCGCGCGGGGGCAGATCCAGTGAGTCGCCACATTGGCTCGGCTGCGGCATGACGTTTCCTGGAAGCGGTAACTTGGTAACCGTCGTTCGGCATGCTTGTCGTTCGACATGCTTATTCAGCAGTTCAGCATTGTGGGATATCACGCTGTTGTATCGTGCCACAAGCACTCTGTTCGGCACTCGATTGGTGTGCGGAGCAAGCACGGCCAGACCTTTCTGCTCGTGCGCGATGTAAGAACAAACGCATGTTGCTGCAAACGGATTTCTTGTCTGACCTTCGTCGATGTTGCTCTGCCGGGAGTTTTGCGGACTCCGTGTTTCGCCCACTCCCACGCCATTGTCAGCCAGTATCCATGTCAGTCGGTTTCTATGTCCAATAGAGGTTGCTAGTGGCATTCGGCCTATCCTGCCCTCCTGTCTCCTCCCTCCTCCATCCTCCTTCCCTCTCAGCCATTCCCTCCTTCCCCAATGTCCAACCAAGTAAAGACATACAGCGTCGTCCAACGACGGTCGACGTCTCCGAGCCCCCGGAAGGGCGTCGCCCTCTGCCGCCGAGCCCCTTCTCGCACTGCCTGGGTGACTGGGTCCATTGGGTCGAGTTGGCGGCTTGGTTGGCAGGCTGACTACTCGGCTGGGCGGCTCGCTGTCTGGACTGATGGGCAAGTTTTCCACCACCACTACCATATGTAGGACGGGGGAGAAGGGAGGATGGAGAGGTCCTCCTCCTCCTCCTCCTCCTCCTCCCTCTCCTATCTATGGTAGTGGTTGTGGAAATATGGGCCCATCATGGACGGGCTGTTGGCAGGCTGGCTGGCTACTTCTGTTGGCTGTAGGGCTCGTTCGCAGGCTTGCTGGCTGGTTGGTGGGATGGCTGGGGGGCTGGCGGGTTCGGATCCCAGCCACGGCTCTTCGGGCATTCTCATTCTTTCTTGGGTGCGAGCATCGCGCCCGAGGTGATTTCAGCCACCACCTTCCTTGCCCTCGCTTGCTTCGCCTCCTTGCCCTCCATCGTCGTCACCTCCGAGCTTCCCCCATACCCGCCTCGGGCTGGGGATGGGCTGACCCTGACCCAGAACGGGTATATCCACGTGCCCGCTTGCATCATTTGACTGTTTTGGCATTCCACAGCTATCACCAACTCAAGGCAGAGTATGATGCGCGAGGAAGGATCCTAGTCACTCCCACATTCCAGTACACAATTCTGGCACCAGCGAAGGCCACAACTGGCTGCTGAGCCCGCTGCCGCGCAGTGCTCTGGACTCATGCGGTACGGTCGCTCCTCCTCCTCTTCCTCCTCCTCCTCCTCTTCCTCCTCCTCCTCCTCCTCCTCCTCCCTCTACCTCCTCCCTCCCCCTGTGGAGGCGGTCAAAAGTCGACTCTCGGATCCATTCTGAGGTGCGTCCCGACGAGAACTTCGACGAAAGAACCCCCGCCGCGGCCACGGGAAGCACGCAACAGGAGCCCCTCCCAAGAGAGGCGAAGCACCTCGACCACTGCAAGTGGTGGCGGCCCTTCGGTGGCGCACGTGCCTCCCGCGCGCGGCGCCGGGCGGTCAGGTCCTCAAGAACGCGTCGCTGTTCAAGGACGTGTTGGAGGCCCGCCCGCTCCCTGCGTTCTGCGCGGGGCACCGCCAGAGGAGAGGGGGCAGAGGGGAGGAGGAGGAGGAGGAGGAGGAGGAGGAGGAGGAGGAGGAGGAGGAGGAGGAGGAGGAGGAGGAGGAGGAGGAGGAGGAGGAGGAGGAGGAGGAGGAGGAGGAGGAGGAGGAGGAGGAGGAGGAGGAGGAGGAGGAGGAGGATGAGGAGGAGGAGGAGGTAGGAGGAGGAGGAGGAGGAGGAGGAGGAGGAGGAGGAGGAGGAGGAGGACGAGGAGGAGGAGGAGGAGGTAGGAGGAGGAGGAGGAAGAGAAGGAGGCGGAGGATGATGAGGAGGAGGAGGAGGACAAGGAGGAGGAGGAGGAGGAGGAGGAGGAGGAGGAGGAGGAGGTGGGGGAGGAGGGTGATAGGTCGTTACAAGGATTGCGTCTCATTGCGGGTGAGTTGCCCCGTTGGAAGAGAACGGTCTGAGAATCCTCATACGTGCCAAAGCACCATTCCTGGGATTGTAGCGCCGCGAATCGACGTGATTGTTGCAGTTTGTTGCGTCCTGACAATCCTAAATCGCCCCAGAATGCCATTCTTGGGAGGTCAACACAGCGAATCAACGTGACTGCAGAATCCTGGCGATTTTAAGTCGCGCCAGACCAAAGTTCCTGGGGAATACAACCGTGCGAATCCGTGACACTGTTGCAAACACTCAAGACGAATGCGCGCGGCGCTAAGGCTAGAGCCACATTTTGACAACGGCCCGCCACTCATCCGTGAAGCCATTGCAAGCTTCAAGCTTCAGGGTCATACGTATCGACGACGTCTCAGGCGAAACGCCCTGCCCGCCCTACCGACACGTTTGGGGGTGCGACAGGGGGGAGTTACTTATATGGAAAAGAATGGAGGAAGAGGAGGATGAGGATGAGGAGGAGGAGGAGGAGAAGGAGCAGAAAGAGATCACCTTGCTCGATCAGGGATTGGTGATCGTGAAGCGGGAGCCACTGGAAAAAGAGGACGAGCTGGTGGTCGACAGCTGAGAACGATAAACTCGGGCACTGCCTGATCTGGCCCTCCCAGGGCCCATCCCTAGCGGCGAGGCTCTTCCCGTCCGGCTCTATGGTTCTTCCTGAAGGAGGAGGAGGAGGAGGAGGAGGAGGAGGAGGTGGTGGAAAGGTGGGTGGTGGTAGGATAAGGGGGGAAGAGCGGGGAGGAAGCACCGCGGAGGGGTCGGAGCAGAGGAGGAGAGCCGACACACACAGTGTTGGCCAGGGGCGTTGTGATGATGCTGATGACGATGACGACGATGATGACGTTGATGTGGTCGTGATGACGATGATGACGTGATGATGACCGTGATGTAATGACGATGACGATGATGATGGCGATGATGAAGATGACGACGTGATGATGCTGATGACGATGATGTTGGTCAGGGGTGTTGATGATGCCGTTGTTGATGATGCTGCTGACGACGATGCTGACGTTGATGGTGATGTCGGAAACTGGAACATATACATTACCAGTGGCGGGCTGTTTTTCAGTCCCAGGACTCTCTTGGGGGGTCGGGGACGACGTCGGGGTGGTGTGGTGTATTTTTCCCCCGTTTTCCAAGGGAAACAACGAACAATGTATACACCAGGATCCCGTATACACCAGAATCCTCGTTCCTGTGCGAATTTCAGCGCAGGGTCGGGAAAAGCGTCGGTGTATAGAGTTCGTTTCCCTATGATGCTGATGCTGATTGCAGTGATAACGATGATGCTGCTGATGATGTTGCTGGTGAGGCTGCTGCTGATGATTGTGGTTATTGTGTTTGTGGTGGCGGTGATGATGAAGAACAAGAAGCCGATGCTGATTATGACGATGGTGGTGCTGATGCTGGTGGTACTGATGATGCTGATGCTGCTGCTGATGATGATGGTGGTGGCCGTGGTTGTGGTGGGTGTTCCCGTGGTTGCTTCGTCGTTGTCCTGTGGTTGTCCCGTGGTCGCCCGTGGCTGCCATTTGGCTGTCCCGTGGTTGCCCCGTCTGCAGATCTATAGTGAGACCGATCGGCAGTCAGCGAGAACGGTCGTTACATTGATAGTGAGATCTGTAGATGCGTAGTTGGACACATAGGTGATGATACCGATATGTCTAATGATAGTGTAATCGGTGTATGCATGGTGAGACCGATAGATTGTGATCTCGGTTGGTAGAGTGGTAGCCGTACTGGCAGAGTGGTGGCGGAACCGATCGCATTTTCATCGATCGTAGATCGATCGACATTTGGAGAGTGAGTTCGGCTCACCGAGAGATGTACACGCATTGAAACCAGTAGATAGGGAGATCGATCGATATATTCGGGATGGCTATATAGACAGATCTCGAGTCCGATCGGGCGCCAATCGCAAACCGCCAGAAACCCCCATCCGCTCCAGCCTTCTCATCACCCGAAGGAAGGTCCAAGCGTTATGGCATTCAAAGTGAGGAATGCGGAATACTTGAAACATTCGGGCTTACGCCATTCCGCCGACCCCCTGAGAACGAGTGAGAAGTAGGAAGAGGACGAAATGGAAGACGACGACGAGCGGGGGCGAGTCCTTCGGGGGTTCTCGCTGGGGCCTCCGTACTCCACGTTGGCCTGGGCGGGTTCCTGGCGGAGGGGGTGCAGGAGGGAGCCGGTCACGACCCGAAAACTCCGCTGGGGTCGGCGGACGCGTCCAAACACGCGCATGGCGTCTTGTTGGAGGCGGTTTTGGGGTGCCTTGGTGTCTTTTTCGGGTGCCTCTTTTGGGCCTCATTGGGGGCCTCTCGGGGGGGCCGCCTGCGGCTTCGGGGGGCATCGTGGGGACCTGCGGGCGGTCTCGGGGACCATCGCGGGGCAGAGGGCTCGAAATGCCGGTTCGCGTTCTTCCTCTCGGGGCGCTCTCGGGGCCTTCGTGGGGCCGTCTTGGGCCGTCGTGGGAGCCTCTGGAGCCGTCTCTCGTCTCTCTTCCTCCTCCTCCCTCTTTTGCGCTTTCGTGTCTCCTGGTTCCCTCCTCCCGCCTCCTCCTCCGTCTTCTGCGTCTTGGAAGCCACCCCGGAAGCGAGCTTCCTGGGCACGCAGCGCTCCATGCGGGAGCGGCGGGACGGGCCGGCGGCCACCAGGCGCACTCGGAAGGGCCACGCACCCCTGTGGCGAGCATGGGGGGCGGCGGATCGAAGACGCCTCGGGCGAATGACCGCCGCACCCTGCCTCGGGAAACGCTGGTGTGGTGGAATATCGGGCGTCAGTGAGGCAGTGCTAGCGTCGGCTAGACGTAAGAGTGGCCCTTCGCCGGGGTGGCCTTTGGTGCAGCCCACCAGGTCCCCCGATCGCCGAGCGCGATGCGATCGTGGCGTCCTGCGCGCTTGTATTTGGTCCCCCCCGCGGCCCCCCAAAGCCCGCGCACCAAAGGTCGCTCTTACAGTGGAGACCCATGCCAAGAAACACCCTGCTTGCTTCCAGGGTGCCCTGGGTTTCTTGGGTTTCGATGGTCTTGCTATGGGGAGCGTGACGCTCCCACGCCAAACATCAATGCACGTCCTGGAGTCTCAGGTTTGGGTTTCTTGTGGAAGGTTTCTTGTGGACTAGCCTTCACTTTACCCATGTGCGCTCCTGCTTGTAGCCGGTAGTTGACCGCGTGTTGCGCCCGAGCTGTCGTGGAGCCACTGGGGGACCACCAGGGAGGGGCCATCTGGGGCCCGTCCTGCGGCCGTCTCGGGGCTCCTTCTGGTGGGCCTGCTTTCCACCACCACCACCACCACCATAAGTGTCGGAGGGGGCAAGGAGGTGGAGGACGAGGAGGAGGAGGACGAAGAGGAGGAGGAGGAGGAGGAGGAGGAGGAGGAGGAGGAGGAGGAGGAGGAGGAGGAGGAGGAGGAGGAGGAGGAGGATGAGGACCCCCTCCCCCTCCAACTTCTGGTGGTGGTGGTGGAAAACAGGCCTATCGCCTTCGTTGGAGGGCTTCCCAGGGCGCTCTCCGGGCCCAGGCACGGCGGCGGGAGGACGAGAGGCTTGAAGGCCTCTCGGAGGCTCCCTGGAGACCCGCAGACTGTATCGGGGCCCTCTTGGGGGTGGAAGACGCCAAAGGGCACTTCGACCTCGCCCTTTGGGGCCCCTTTTGCGGGCCTGTTAGGTCCCTCTTCGGATCTCTGGGGCCTTCTTCGGGGGCTTCTTGGGCCGCCTTGGGTGCTCTGCAGACCGATCAGGCGAGTTTGAGAAGCTCATACATTCCAGATGTTTGAATTATTTGAGCTTGTTAGGCTTGCCCCGTGACCTCCAAGACGACCCGTGGCACTCGGCAATTTAGATACACACTCCAGATACCACTTGCTCACGTGATCCCCATGGGACCGTCTTAGAGCATAAACTTTGGAGTCCTAATCAAGCTCCCAAGGCACGTGGGAAAGTCGTGAGGAAAGCCTCGAGAGCGCCTAGGAGTGCCCAATAATTGCCAGAATTCTGGCATATGGGCCTCATAAGGAGAGCGATATTCAACACAGAGAACTCGAAGGGACCTGAGGACTGCGCACTCAGTGCGTACGGCACGGTTGCCAGTTCCGACCCTAACGGCGAAAATGACAGCAGCGACACAAGCGAGAAAAGCAGGGACGGTAATGACAACGACAGTAACGACAGCCACAATGGCAACGGCGACAGCCAATCGATCCCCAAAACATCAAACCACGAACGCCTGGATTTTGGAAGTGGATCGTTTCGACTCGTGTAATTTGACCTCAAGCATTGCCGTACTGGCTCATGGTGCAGCAAGTCTAGAGGTCAGTGCTTGCCCACGAATGCTTGCTGTATACTCCCGCTGTTTCGCTCCCCCCTGAGCGCAATGGCATGGTGGTCTCTCCCGTCCGTGGCGTCGAACGTTGTGAAACAGAACGTCCGGACGAACACGCCTGGGTCTGCCGGCCGTGTCGCGCGGGACAGGGTGAGAGCAGAGGCAGCCTTACGGGCCTGGCTGCACATTGCCCAGGTGGCCTTGCGACCTCCGGCTGAGCGCTTGGAGCTCGCCGCGCGTTGGCGCGAGGCGCAGGTGCTTCAGGCCAGGTCCTTGCGCCAGCGGTTTGCACTGCCCTCTATGGATGTGGGCTGGGCAGCTGCTGCGCCCCTCCGAGAAGGTCCAGAGACGCTGCGCTCGCTGAATGCAGAGCTTCGCAGCCTCAGTGACGGCAGGCATTCGCAAGATTCCAATGTCGTCAGGCAGGCGGCCCAGAGGGTGATTGCTATTGAGAAGGAGCTGGCGTCCTTGCCAACAGCTCACATGACTGATCAAGCACGGCTTTGCTTCGATCGGACAAGTACTCTGTGCTCAGAGCTCTTGGGGTGGGCTCGTGCATCACAGTGTCCGGATGATGAGTGTCAAGCCTTTTCAGAGTCTGAAGCTTCAAGCTTCTGCGCCTTTTCGTCCGTACAGCGAGAGGTCGTAGAGCATGCAGGGAGCGTACTTGTTCAGGGCCGCTCTGGCACCGGCAAGACACTCATTCTCACGGCCAGGATCTTGAGACGATGTAGAGCAGATCCACTGTGCGCCCAAGTCTTTGTGACGAAATCTTCGATGTTGCGAGATGAGGTTGCGTCTCAATTGAGGTCAGCAGGTTGCAGTGTGCTATCATCGTCGGTCTGGCCTCCAGTGAGCGGGGTGCTTTGCCTTACTTGGATACAGTTAGTGGCGATATTGAGGCCAACCCGCCGTCAGGCAAGTATCGACTGGGAACGCTTCCAAACGCGGTACTGGCCAGAACTTCTTCGTGCGGTGGTAGACTGGCGCAGCAAGAGGCCGTCCTTAGACCTGCCAGCAGTACTTGTCTGGGCGGAGTTTAACACGAGGCTGCGCTCGTTTACATCAACAGAGTCTCAGCCAGAAGGCCTTTCATTCAATGACTATCTAAAAAACGGTTCAACATGCGCTCTAGGAGCAGAGCTTGATGAGAACGAGCTGAGATTGATCCACACGATGTTCAACAGATACGAGGTGCTGAAGGCTGAGTTTCAAGAGTTGGATGAAGTGGATGTGGCAATGCGCATCGCCAAGAAGAAGCCAACACGCGTTGATGCTATCTGTGTTGACGAGGCGCAAGATTTTACGCCCGCGGAGTTGTCATTGCTGATTTCCCTCTGTCGCGATCCAAGAGGCTTGGCCATGGCAGGCGACACATGCCAAACAGTCAATCCAGGGAGCGCCTTCAATTTTGCCCAGTTGGTGAGTGCGTTCGACGCTCGAAGAATTGGCAAACCATGCCACCATCGGGTGGAATCTTCTCGAAGAGACTTTGGTGCATACGCCGAACCATGCAAGTCTTTCCAGCTTGGTGTGAACTACCGTTGCGCAGCTGGGGTAGCCGGTTTGGCTAGGTCGGTCTCACAGCTCTTGTTGCAGCGATTCCCCAGCTCGGCGGACCTCATTTGTGAAGAGGCCTTCAATCCGGTCCTTCAGCTCCCGTTGTACATTGAGGTCCCTGGCAAGAGCATGAACTGGTGCTTGACCGGCGGCGAACGCAGCAGCTTACCACATGGTCTCTCTGCCCGTGGCGCAGTACTTGTGCGGACGCACCGAACCCGCGAGATGCTGCAAGCCAGAGGGGTCCGCGGCACAATACTGACTGTTGCTGAAGCGAAGGGTCTCGAATTTGATCTGGTCGTGCTATGTGGGATCTTGTCAGACTGTCCTGATCGATCCTTCTGGCCCCTTGCCAACCCCATGTCCGCAGAATCTGCTTGCGCCTCTGCTGCGTTACACGACAAATCGCGCTGGAAACAGCAGCAGCGGAGACGCTTCTGCCGTCTAACGCTCGCTATCCCAGAATTGAAGAGCCTCTATGTGGCTATTTCCCGTGGGCAGACAGGCTGTGCTATCTTGGAATGCCCAGACTATGTCCCAACGAAGGATCGACGGCCTGCCCCGGGTGGATGGGAACCCTTGCTCCGGCTTTGGCAGGAGCAGCAAGTAATCGAATGCTGGCTGGGGGAGGCGCAGTACAAAGAAAAGGTTTGCGGTTTGCCTGATGCGCTGGAGGGAGTGCCACCCCTTATGGCAGCACTGGAACAGCATTACGGCGTTGACAGGCCAGCAGAGGATTTGGCAACCACCGTCCACGATCTAAAGAACCGCGCTGCGCAATTCTTGACGCTTCGCGTATCCAAACCAGGATCACGGTTCGCGACAGCTCAGCCCCCCTGGGTAGCTCACGTCGTCAATGGCGTTGGAGCCTGGCGCCCCACCGGCGACTCGCTCCATAGGCCTCGCGCTTGCCCCCACTCAGAACGACGGACTCGGTTACTCTGGTTCACGTCTTGATACTGTGTGGGTCGTGCCAATGGCAGGCACCGAATTCCTCGACATTTTGTCCTGTGCGCGTGCTCGAGCTCCCAGGATGCCCCCCGCTGTCAGCTCCCCTTTCAGCTTCGCGGCTGCTTTGTGAGTGGGCCGGCTGGCTTGTGGCTTGTGCCTTCTGTAGCTAATTCGGCTCGCCCGTTTGCCCGGACTCCCTGCCCGCCGCCTGCCTCTTCGCTGGCGGCCGCGACCGAAAAAGTATCCAAACTAGTCTCTAGGTTCGCGCGTAGCAAATTTGGCAGGCCCGTGGCCCGGACCTCTCCTTCGGCGACTGCGTTTCCGCGTCCGCCCGCGACCAATATATATATATATATATATATATGTATATATATATATATATATATATACATATATCCAAACCAGCAGTTTGACTTCGGACGCCGCCTGCACTTCCGCTTGCGGCCGCGGAAAAAAATCCAAACCAGCCTGGTCCTCGTGGTGCGTCTACGAGCCCGTGGTCACTGGCTTCCAGCACGCTCGCGGTGTCGCCCAACCAGAATTCCCCGCCATTTTGGCGTTGCACTCCGCCTGGCGGTTCCCCCCCAGTCGACGGCGTTCTCTTCTGAGCGGCAGCGAGGCTCGCCTCCTGTTTGTTCCTCCCTCCGCTGTCCTCTCGTTGCGTCCCCTCCCCCCTGCGCAGTTCATGCGTAGCCCGCCCGCTGCGGCTCTTGGACGGCGTCCGGCGCCTCCCGGTGCGCCTGCGATCAAAAAAGCCGAACCAGCCCATCCAAAAACAGACGCCAGGCGAGCGTGACCGGGTTCGCCGCAGTAGGGTGGTTACCTGTCGTTGTTCGCCGTGCGTGCGATGCTTTTGGCGCGCGAGCGCCGACGACCTGACTTACCAGGCATGGGGGCGGCGACGGGCAGCCACTCAACCCATTAGGGACAAGACGACCACGACGAATAATAATGCGAATGCTAATAACAATAATAAGAAGAGTAAGAATAGTACCACGACGAGAAAGAAAACGAAATCGACGACGGCGACGGCGACAACGACGAGGGCGAGGACGAAGACGACGACGACGATGACGATGACGGCGGCGGCGGCAGCGGCGATGACAGGAGTCCATCAAGACCTTGGACAATCTTTCGCTCGAGGATCGTCTTGGAGGCCTCTTGGTGCCATCTTTGGGCCTTTTTGGGGCCATTTTGGAAGCTTTTTGGGCCATCTTGGGGCTCTCTTGAGGCTCTCTCGGGGCACTCTTGGGGCTCTCTTGGGGTCCTCTTAGAGGCCTTGGAGGCCCCTAGGGACATCTACCCACGTCTGTGCTCGTAGATTTGCCCCTTGCGGGCATCTTTGCGCGCTCGTGGGGCGCTTTTGGAGCCGCCTTGGGGCCATCCTGGGCCCCTCTTGGGGCCATCTTGGCTATCTTGGTGCCGTGCCATCCTACGGCCTCAAGAGCTTATCGGAAGCGAAAAGGCGAGAAGGCAAAACACGTGGAAACACATTGGTTTTGAAGGAGCCCGGCCTCCTGGGGGCCTCCTTGGGAGGTTCGGCCGGCACTTGGGGCCATCCCGGGGCGATCCTTGGGGCTTATGGAGGAATGCTGGAGGCTATCTTGAACCATCTTGGGATGTCTCGAGCGATCTTGGAGACCATCTTGGGCTCTCTGAGGGTCTTCTCGGAGACATCTGGGGCCTTAGAAGAGACCCATCCAGGGGGCATGGGGATTTCTGTTGTCTTCTTTCGGGGCAAATTATCAGGTGGATGGGGGGGGGGAGGAGGAGGAGGAGGAGGAGGAGGAGGAGGAGGAGGAGGAGGAGGAGGAGGAGGAGGAGGAGGAGGAGGAGGAGGAGGAGGAGGACGAGGACGAGGAGGGGAAGGAAAAGGACGGGAAGGGAGAAAGGGACCTCCTTCCCCGAAGGGAAAGAGGGAGTTAGCAGAACGAGTCTTTTAGACCACTCACGCCCAGAGGGCTGGTCGGCTTCATGAGACATGCGGAAGACGACCCGCGGTCGCGCTGGAATGTTTTTGCAGAAGCTGCCAGGGCTTTCCGCGGGAGCATGTCAGCAGCAGACATGCTCTTGGCCACTCAGCTACATCAAGGGGCGTACCTTGCAGCTCCTCAGCGGAGTATGGTAGGTATCAGCGAGCTGAACGCCCAGGCTCCTTGGAAGCAAGAGATATGTGAACTGATTCGACAGGCTTCCCGTACTTCCTCATGGCGGGGTTCATCATATCTTCGCAAAGTGAGTCGGAACAATATAATTTCGCTGATCGCCCTCTTCCTACCTCCGCGTGATGGTGACATTTTTCGCATGACGAAGCGAATGATTGAGCGCACTTGTGAACACATTACACTCAAGCAGGATCTCACTGAAGAAATGGTCGTGGCTCATGCTTGGTATACGATGTCACGAGCATTGTATGATCCAGAGGCGCATCAGTGCTACGAGGAGCGCATGACCAGGGTTTCCGCATCCATGCTTGACTTCACAACTTCTAGCCGGGGCGTAGCAAGCTTCTATTTCAGAAATTGGTCCTTCGCTGTTGATGAGGAGCGCGGCAAGCCATCGCAAAATGCCCGCAGACTTCAGCATTGCATGGATAGGGCATTCGTGACTTTGGTATCTGAGTTCTTGGGGGTTCGTGACCTCGTCATGGGGCGCATGAGCCAGCTCACGAGCGCAAGCCAAGCCTTTCTTGCAGCCCACCGACCACACATGGCAAGCAGAGGCTACGCTGCAGCCGCAGAGGCTGCGAGGCGCTTCCTCGACGTCTTGGCGGTGCTCAGGGCATCTAAGACCGTGGCATAACTGAGATTCGCTCCTCCTCCCCCCTCCTCCCCCCTCCCCTTCCCACCTCCTTTCCCCTCGTTCTCAGGAGGGCGAAACTTACCATCACACTGTGCTTTGGGCTGCCCTCAGGTACCCGATCATGCTCCAGGGCTCCGTGATCTCGTGGGCTTGGCAGTCATCGTCCGAGAGTCTGGTCGCAGCCATGCGTCGTCTGCTGGGCACTGCTTGCTCCTGGCAGGAGAATTGGAACGGTCCACCTCAGACACGCAAAGGCGAGCGGAGACGATGCTGGCGGTCAGCTGCTCCTGGAATGCATGGCATTTGCGTGCTCTGAGTGCTGGCCGACGATGAGACAATTATCCTTACCACACCTTACAATGTACAGAGAAACCGCTATGGGCTGCATGGGAGAAATCCGAATCCTCCCTGCGCAGGGCGTTGCAGAAAGGGCCTCGCCTTCCAGGAAACGAGGAGCGAATTCCCCCATCTTCGGTGGAAGCAGAACGGGGGCGGGGGCGCTGGCGGAAGCAAGCGGGCGGCTGGCGGACGTCTGCGGAATCTCAGGAGGAGAAGGAGGAGGAGGAGGAGGAGGAGGAAGAGGAGGAGGAGGAGGAGGCAAAGAGGTAACGCTTCCCGTTGGGCTCCAGGGCTTCCAGGGCCTGGAGCTCGTGGGCCGGCTCGCGGAACCTGGCCCGCATGCCTGGCACGTGCGCAATCCAGCCCAGCAGTTGGCGCAGCCGCGTTTGGAAGCAGCCGGTCGTCCACGCAGTCGCGCGATCAGTTCGCACGTATACAAGCAAGCAGGCGTGCAAGCAAGCATGGCAACATGCAGGCAAGAAGCACGCCGGCGCGCTCTCAAGCGTGAGCCAACTTCGCTGGGGCAATTGCATGCGCACGTCGCACGCGCGGAAGAAACGAACAACACTGCACACAATGCTGCTCTTGGGGCTCTCTTGGGCCATCTTGGGACAACCTTGAGGCCTAACAAGGGGTCTGGAGGGAGTCAGGGAGTAGTCGGGCCTGTAGGAGCCATGTCGGAAGCTGTCTTGAACTATCTTCGGCTTCCTTGAGCCGCCATGGAGGCCATTTTGGGGCATCGGAGGCACTCTTGGAGCCGCCTTGGGCAATTTTGGACGCTCTGACACATCGCGGCCCGCCCAACACAACCTCAGGGAGGGGAGAGGGAGAGTATCCCTCCCCGAAGGGAAGAGGGTTTATTGGAAGAGGCAAGAAAGAACTTGGTAGCCCACCTTAACTCACAATGCTGGTGGGATTCGTCACGCGCGCGTGGCGGCGGGTGCATGTGGCCCGCATTGTGTTATCTGGTATTGATTTGTGCCCAAGGTGTACGCGGGATTAACGCGGATGCCCCGCGTGGTGATATGAGAATTCGGATTTTGGGCGAGGTTGCAACAGCCAGATGGTTCCCCCATGATTTCAGCAAGTGCGCGCGGTCAGGCAACCTGCAAGGTGTTTTTATGACAGGCCAAACGGTTTTACAGTTTTTCGGTGGCAGTGCTTGTGCAACCAATCTGTTTTGGGTTAGATTTCGACGTGCGCGCGCGTTTGAACTCTCGGCATGTTTCGAAAAGGGGATATTATTTGACGGGGATGACGGGGGGATGTCCGATACCATCTTGGCTTGGGTGCTCTAGTTTCAGATGGAAAGTGAACGATGGGGCACAATCACATCAGCGTTGTGTCTTCCCATGGGGAGACGATACGTCTAGGCTCGGGAGGGTGGCAGAGATTATTCTTCTTCTGGAAGGAGAATTTGCGAGGTTCCATGTGCTGACGGCATCCGCGCGTGACCACCTCCCATGCTCCAGAAACCACCAATACACCCACCAAGCCGCAACTTCTTCGCACAATCCATGAAGGCCGTGAGTGCAGTTGCCAGTCACCTGCTCGTGAATCTCAAGTGGCACAGTGACGCGATGACCCTGCTCATCCAGATCCAGGGCTCGGGCGGACGACCAATACTGATGACAATGGCATCGGCGACGAAGATTATGGGTGTGTGATGGCTGTGGTGATGATGACGAGGACGACGGCATCGACGATGACGGTGGTGACGAAAGCGGTGATGATGACGAGGTGATGATGACGACGACTGTGGTGGTAGTGGTGGTGATGGTGATGGTAGTGATGATGGTGATTGCGATGGCGATAGTGATGATGATGATGCTGATGCCGATGATGATGATGGTGATGATGATAGTGATGCTGTTGATGATGATGCTGATGATGATGCTTATGCTTATGATGATGATGCTGCTGCTGCTGATGATGATGATGCTGATGATGATGATACCGATGATACTGAAAAGGATGGCGTCAATGACGACGCTAGCGATGATTGTAACGATGGTGCTGACGAGGATAATAATCAATTGCTCTCGAGCAGAAGTGCATAATTCTTGACGTGTTTTAGTGAAGACTCACTCGGTTTTCACATGTATTTTGACACCTGTGTGCTGGCCGGAAGCGTGGAAGCGCGCCTGTGGATCGCATAGGATTATGTGAAAGTGTTTGCTGGCCGGCAATGATTGCTGAATCATTTCGAGTTGCGGGCGTGCGGAACGCATGATCTAATTGGGTGGCCAACCGCGTTTTTTTTTTGTTTTTTTTTTTTTTTGTTTTCTCGCATGGTGTTCTTATGCTTCCAGCTTTGCAAGACAGTTTGAATCAATGCTCCTCGACAGTTGTAATCGCTATGTCTTGACATGCGTCGAACACATCTGGTTATATAAGGATCTTGGTACGCGCGCGTGCTCGGGAACGCTCCCATGTGACCCGCGTTGCATTGCTTGAGTCGTATTGTTGCAAAGCGCATTTGTTATATTAACGCATGTGCGCCGAGTTGTGTCGTTGCCGGAGATGAGGGAGGGGATGTCGAGACTGGGCCGCCTGTGATAGCGCTCTTGGGTGTATAATTCTTTATGTGTGCATACACATAGATTATATCTGTGTATGTATGTATGTATGTATGTATGTATGTATGTATGCGTGTATATACTCAGACATCGTGAGGGAAGATGGGACACTGGAGACAGATGTGAATTGTGATGATGACAGGCATGGAGGGGGTCAATAACCACGGCCTCGGGGTAGGGGTACAGTTCTGTACCTCCGGGCAGAAGGAGTCCACAGGGCGTCGGGAAGCGCCAGTCAGCGCACACCGGCCAGGCACGGGGGCCGGGCTCGAGCGGGCACCGGGCGAGAATCCGGAAGCGCCCGCCGCTGCACGGCGGGCACACGAGGCGGGGAGGGGCGGGCACCAGGCGAGAGCCCGGGAGATTCCGCCAGCGCACTGAGCGGGCACGAGGCGGGCACGTTTGGGCACCAGGCGTAAGCCCGGAAGAGTGGGCCAAGTGCAAGCACTGCTTGGGAAGTCTGCTGGAGCGGCTCTCGATTCGGCAATCAATGATCCATTGCATCGAGCTTTCCCAGCAAGCATACGCTAGCTTGGATCATTTTAGGCAAAGCATTCACAGAGCGCGCTTGGACATAATGCTCATGGTTCCTGGGCTTGCAGTCCAGCCCAAAGGGATAGTGTCGAAGCACGTCGGATTCCTCTTCGATCAATTTCGAAAGCGATGCGCAACAACATGCATATTCAGATGTCCAACGGGGTCGATAGCGTTGCTCATGGAAACACGCATATATGATCAGACTTGTAATATTATGACTCCCATTTTGCCCATCATTCACGTCTTCTCCCTCCTCTTTATCGCTTCTCTCCTCTTCCTCATCCGTCTACTTCTTTTCAGTGGCGTGCTGACGTAAGCGGAGAGGGATTGCATGTCAGGCGCCCGACTTCAACCCGTCCCATCTCTTGAAGATAGTGTCTCTGTTGGCCTCGCCAGAGCTCATGGAGGATTCCAGGGTGGACAGCAGAGTAGAAGATAGAGTGGTAATTGTGAAGACGGAGAGGACAGTGGAGTGGGAAACCTGGCGGTTCGCGGCACGTGGGCCTAGGGCATCAGGCTTGAAACTATGGACGACGGTGGCGCAGTGAATATTCGTGCCAGGATCCAGGACTCGCGGCGGTACGAAGGTACATGCGCTTACGCGTCCTGTCCCCCCCAGTCGGGAGCTGACGCTTCGCTGTGGAGCCAGGCTCACAAAGCCGGGGAATTTCCATCGCGACATAGCTAGAGGAGGCTCTATCGCGAAAGGGCATCAAATTACAAAGTACTCCGCCCAGAAGGGGTGTTTTCGAGATGGAGAGCGCCCTGCGCTTCTCGAATTGCTCTGATGTTATACCCACGCGCTCTGTCGCCCAACAGCTGCCGCCGTGGTCGGCGCCATCTGACATGTTGCTCGGATCTGGCCACACGTGCTGCAGTGTGTCGTGCAGGAAGCCGGCGTAGCCCGTCGCTCAGATGAGAAAGATCGCCGAAGGCGCTCCAACCCTCGTCTCGGCGCGACGACGAGGCGGGGTTGACCCCCGTCGGGGGGACCTCCCCACGCTTGTTGAGAAGCCCAGAGTCGTCAGAAGGCGAAGCCTGCCGCAGGCGCCGCCGAGCACTGCCTGCTCTGTGTGGGTGCTTGGCCCCGTCCCTCTCGGGGGTCCAGCCAGCTACCTAGCGGGCGCCCTCGGGGGCACCGGCCGGGCTCCTCTGCCATCTCCCGGTGCCCCTGGCTTGGCCCCACCAGGCTTGGGTCTCCCATGAAGGGACAGAGCAGGATACCAGCGATGGAGGAGGAGGAGGGGGAGGAGGAGGAGAAGGAGGAGGAGGAGGAGGAGGATGTGAAGGGTGACACGTTCAATCAGACACAGTTGTAACAACATGGGAGTGTGAAGCGCAGCGACAGACGTACACCCGAGCATGCCCGCGCATGTTAAACATGACACGCACCCTCGCGAGCAGAGCCCCTCACGCTCCGAAGGGGGCCAACGAATCACGAAAGGCCGCTGGTTGAACGCGCTCGGAGCTCATCGTGCGGCGGCAGCACGGGCAGCAGCAGCAGCAGCAGCAGCAGCAGCGGCAGCAGCAGCAGCACGGGAAGCACGGGAAGCAGCAGCAGCAGCAGCAGCAGCAGCAGCAGCAGCAGCAGCAGCAGCAGCAGCAGCAGCAGCGGCTGAGGCCAACAGCGGCAGCGTGCGCAGGGGTGGCGGCGTCCGTCGCCCCCCAGGGGCCGCCAGCAGCAGCGGGCGCCAGGGTCGCCATGGCTGGGGGACTCTGCGGGGACGGCGGCGGGGCCGGATGGGCGAGGGCGCCGTGGGCAGCATCGTGGCGCGGAAGCAGACGCACCAGGATGCAGGATGCAGAATGAGAGTCAGTGGCGGGGCCGGGCACCAGGATGCAGAGTAAGCCGCACCACGGTGCAGGGGGACACCACGATGCAGGAAGAGAGCTCCGTGAACGGCGTCGGGACGCGGAAGCAGGCTGACAAGCAGCTGGAGAGGCACGCTCGCCGCGCTTATGTCGCTGCGCAGCTCAGGAGGGCCTCGAGGAAGAATGCGAGACGTTCGAAGATGTCTGGAAGCTCTCTTTCATATGCATCCGGATGCGGAGCCTGACGAGCAGCGTGAGCAGGCAGACAGTGAATATCCACTTTTGCAGGCTGAAGAAGTGCAGGAGGTGGCCCACGGTCGTCCGCACAACGGGCTGAAATGGCAGCGTGTGAACTTCCAGGCCCATCTCATGGCTGGCCCATGGGACGGTCTCGGAAAAAAAGCAACGTCCAAGGCAATCTGCATCAGGCGGCCGTCCAGGGTGAAGCCATCCGCCCCAGGGGGGCGAATAGAATACACAAATATCTGCCCCGAAGGGCGCCCAGGACAGGAAGGACAAACGGCGCGCCATGAAGGACAGCGTCTTGGAGCTGTCCAGGGTGGGGCTGACGGCGATCATTTTATGCAATTTGCCACTGTCCAGGAGGCGGTGCACCTGGCATAAGGGTTAAGAACAACCCCAGCTTTGGAGAGTTACCCGAGTGTTCTTCGTGTGTTGGCTCTTCATCTTGGAATGCTCTTCGGTTGGGGCGCACCCATGTGTGTTTGGAAAGGCGATGGCAATACAGACCGGGCCCGCGACGGAACGCAGAAAATTCGCAGAAGTGATCGTAGAAAAATTTGACGCGATGTCGAATGATCAGTTTGATATAATCCGCCGGCTGGGCGAAATCGATTCCCACACTTTGCGTGCAGAAGTGCAGGCCAAGCAATATTGCCAGCACCCTGTCCCAATCGAACCTACCGTAGGTATGTTGAGGTACCTAAATTGGAGTACGTCGAGAAGGTTGTCGAAGTTCCCAAGGTTCTACTTGTGGAAAAATTTCGCAGAGCAGACACTTATCATGCCAAGCGCTCGTGGTAATGCCAGCGGTGGTGATCCTGGTCGAGCCGGCGCCCCTTCTTGTGAGGCGAGTCGCGTACCTAGTGAAGATGAAACGATCAAGGGAGCGGAGGCCACAATTGACGCTATAATCTGGAGTATTCAGACACGAATCGGTTTGTTCATCGATGCGAAGGACGAGACAAGTTACATAGGTCTGGTGCTGGATACGCTTGGGAACCAAATTGTGGAATGCAAAGCAACATTCCCCAATCCAAACCGCACGGAGTTATCGAAGGGTGAGGTGGAGCAGCGTTATGGGTTCTTGCATCGATATCGACCAGGCAGGACAAACCGCAGATGGAAGGGCTCCAAGTGGCAAGCTCGGTCCCGCAGCCGCCTCTTCCCCAGTGGTCCCTCAAGACCGCCGGGCTTCGAGCAGACACCGGAGTGAGCGAGTGAGGGAGACATGGAGCAGGATGGAGTGGGGGAAATGGGGGGGAGAGAAGGAAGGAAGGGAGGAATGGAGAATGGGAGGAGCAGCGCGAGGAGGAGGAGAAGGAGGAGGAGGAGGTGAAGGAGCGGGATGGTTATGATGCTGATGAGGATGAGGACGGTGATGACGATGCAGATAATGCTGACGATGATGATTATGTCGGTGGTGGTGATGATGCTGCTGATGATGATGCTGATGATGATGGGAAGTGGAACGAGATGATGATGATGATGATGATGATGATGATGATGATGATGATGATGATGATGCTGTTGGTGCTGATGTTGGCGCTGCTGATTGTGATGCTGATGATGTTGCTGATGCCGATTGTGATGCTGCAGATGACGAGGATGATTATGATGATGATGCCGACGATGATGATGCTGGTGCTGCTGATACTGATGATTCGGGTCGTGGTGATGCGGAGTAAAAAGGGTGATGATGATGAGGATGCTGGCGTTGATGACGGCGGTTATGCTGAAATTTATGCTGTTGGGGACCATGATCGTGATGCTGATGACCATAACGTTGCTGCTGCTAATGGTGATGTTGATGATGAAGGTGAGTCTGATGATGGTGATGATGGTGATGGTGGTGGTGGTGGTTGGAGGTGTTGATGATGCTGATGAGGATGAAGACGATGAGGATGCGGAGGAAGGCGAGGGATACGATCATGATGATTGTGCTGATGCTGATGATGATGACGAGAACGGCGATGACGACGATGCTGATGAATATGCTCATTATGGTGATTGTTCTGCTGCTGCTGATGATGCTGATGAAGAATATGAGGAGGATTGGGGTGCGGATCCATCCCGCTCCGCGTGGCAGACACATGTGTAATTCAATATAGTTATATGTTTGCAAACTATGTCGTTATGTATGTATGCGAATGTATGTACATCGCCTACGTATAGCATGTATGTAACTTGTATATGACATATTTGTTTTACCTTGCAACACTGAATCAGATCGCAGATGTATAGTCACAGGCACATGTACATCGATATATTTATGTCTATGTCTGTCTGTCTGTCTGTCTGTCTGTCTGTCTGTCTGTCTGTCTGTCTGTATGTATGTATGTATGTATGTATGTATGTATGTGTATATATATACATATTTGGATGTATACATAGACCTTGGACAGATGGGGTGGGCGAGGACACTCGCTCCGACCAGCTCTACCGCATATTCCTGGCCTCGACCGCGATGCAGGATGGTCGCCCGGCAGCCCCGCGGGAAGGCCTAGGCAGGCTCCCCTCACTGCCCCATCTCTCCCTCCTCTCGATTGTTTCCCTCCCCTCCTCCCCTCTTCTCTGCCTCCCCTCTCCCCTCCCTCCCTCTCTATCCGTCGCGCTTCTGTTCGCCTGCGGCCACCTCGCCTTCGACGACCTCCGCTGAGGTCTGCCCGGAGGCCACCTCGGCCACCTCCCTGGCTGCCCGCTGTCTGTGCTTCAGACAAGGGCTCCCACGAGGGCGCGAAGTTATTCGCGCTTCGCGGTCCTCGTTCCTTCTTCCCCTCCTCCTCGTCCTCCTTTTCTCCCTTTGGGGGGGCGGCGCGAGAGCGCGAAGTTATTCGCCCTTCGCGCTTCGCGGAGCGCGGAGCGCGAAGTTGGGAGCCCTAGTTCAGACGGCGTGCTGTGCCTCGCACCCTCGCGCACCCCCCTCCCCCAGCCCGTTGGCCCTTGCCTCGCTCGCTTCTCGGGCCCCTCGATCGGTCCCTCTGCGTCGGCTGCTTTTGAGGGGCTGGGACTTGACGCTAACGGACGTCCAAATAAATGTTCATAAACATCCCCCTCCCCCCTCCCTCCCTGAGGCTCAGCGTCCAAGACGGTTGCCACTGAATGGCTTAGGACAACATGTTTACACGTGTTGCCGTAGTGTCCATTGTGCGGGGGTGGGCGGCTGCGTTCCACGCACATTCCTTTCTACCGAAGTAGTTCAAACACTCTGGCTTTGTGGAGCGTGCGGACTTTGTTCCTCCGAGCGCATCAGAGGCCTTTGGGGCGCGTGCAAGCGTAAACACCTACCAACACTCGGCGATCATATCTGCAGAGGGTCGGTGACGGGAACTGGCCAAAGGTCTTCTATCGTTGTTGAGGCAACGTGCCAGAGGCCGGAATCTTCCTTCATTTTGTTTCTTCTCGGGTTGACCATTTCCGTTCCCATTCCCTCTCCTTCCTCTTCCTCCTCTCCCTCCCTCTGCCTCCCGTCCCTCTTTCCCTCCCCTTGCCCTCCCTCTCCCGCGTCCTCTCTGCCACCCCCCTCCCTCCCTCTTGCCTCCTCTGACGCTTGGTGCCTCGGCTCGCTGCTGCGTTCACCTCGTACGAGCTGCACTCTCTGCACTCTCACTCGCTCCCTCTTCCGCCCCCTGGGGCCCCGTCCGGAGGCGTCCCTGCGCACCACGGTCATCAAGCACAGCGCCGGCAAGCACTCCGGAAGCTTTCTGGAGGATCCGTGCCAATGGTGTCGGGCGTTCCTCTTGTCTCTGCGATTAGTTCGCCGAGGGCGAGTGGGAGAGAGCATGATGCGGAGCAAGAGAAGGGCAGGATCAGGAACAACAAAGAGGAGGAGGGGGAGGAGGAGGAGGAGGAGGGGGAGGAGCAGGAAGAGGGTGACGATGACAACATCGAGGCGACGATGATGATGATGATGATGATGATGATGATGATGATGATGATGATGATGATGATGATGCTGATTAGGATGATCATGACGATGTTGATTATGATGATGATGACGATGATGACGATGGTGATGCTGCTGATGCTGATGATGATTGAGATGCTGACGATGATGATGATGCAGCTGATGCTGCTGCTGCTGATGATGCTGATGATGCTGCTGCTGATGATGATTACTAACATGATGATGACGCTGCTGACGAGGATGCTGATGATGCTGATGATGCTGATGTTGATGAGGATGATGATGCCGCTGATGAGAATGATGTTGCTGCTGCTGATGGTGATCATGATGGTGGTGATGATGATGCTGATGACGATGATGATGATGATGATGATGATGATGATGATGCTGCTGAAGCTGATGCTGATGATGATGAGGATGATGATGATGCTGATGCTGATGATTCCGATGATGATGAGGATGATGATGATGATGCTGATGATGATGATGATGATAATGGCGATGATGCTGCTGCTAAAGAGGATGATGATGATGATGATGATGATGGTGATGCTGATGCTGATGATGCTGATGATGATGGTGATGGTGACGATGATGATGTTGATGCTGATGATGGTGCTGCTGCTGATGCTGATGATGAGGATGTTGCTGCTGATGATGATGAGGATGATGATGCTGCTGCTGATGACGGTGATGCTGCTACTGCTGCTGCTGATGATGATGAGGATGATGATGAGGATGAGGATGAGGATGAGGATGAGGATGATGATGATGATGATGATGATGATGATGATGATGATGATGATGATGATGATGATGATGATGATGATGATGATGATGATGATGATGATGATGATGATGATGATGATGATGATGATGATGATGATGATGATGATGATGATGATGATGATGATGATGATGATGATGATGATGATGATGAAGCTGACGACCAGGACGATTATCATGGTCATGGTGACGGCAGGTGCGAGTCTGCTTGCGCATGCGCTCCGAGGTCTCAAGCCTTCAATGGACTGGGCGAGCGGCCACAATGGCGGGCGCAGCAGCGGCCATGTGGCCGGAGAAGCGGATCAAGCAGGCATACCGAAAACAAGTCAAATGACCAGAACAAGAAGAAAGCAAGCTTGGGTTCAAGGCGGTTGCCCTCGTATCCGAATTCGTGTTGGCAAACCTTGAGCTCATGCCATGGGCAAACCCAGGCACACACACACACACGCAGTGAAATCCTGAGGAAAAACCAGAGGACCACAGGCATATCCCAAACCCGCCCCCTCCACAGGCAAACCAGACAGGATAGCAGCCCGAGGACGACCACCCGGAATGCATCCTCCAAGACAGCAAGAACTCCCACTGGCAAGCTGAGGTAGGGTCCAGGATGGAGTGGGTATCGGGAGGGGACTGTCCCCCTCCAATGTACCCGCAGCGTTTTCTCAAGCCGTCGAACTTGCGGAAGCGACGCGAATATCGATGTTACCACCATCAGAAGACTTTTTGAGCACAAGGCGTCGGCCTCTTTGTTCCAGACAGTCAGTTGAGCAGTGGTGGTGCTGTGTGCAGTGGCTGAAGTGCTGGTGTGGGTCCTGCCTCTGTTCACCCAAACCGAAGCCAAACCCGCATCACCAGACATCTCTCCCAACCTCGACGCTAAGTAAGCAACGACGAACACCTCAATGAACATCATCGGTCTCAAACGCTTACGGTCAGGAACTGCTGCTTAGCGTGTCGCGCTGCCTGTTCTGGCCCACCACGCTGCGGCGCGACACGCTGAACAAGGCCCAGTCCCCGAGCGTCAACGTTCCGAGCTTTTTGCATCCTCCCGCCCCGCGGAGCGGAGCGACACGCTATCAGCTCGCAGGGCATAGCGTATCGCCAGGGCCGCCGCCGCAACCGACTAAGTAAAGTTCCTGACCGTAAACACCGAAGTTTGAGGGTCACCCCTGCCCCATTGGCCAACACGGCCGCCTCTGGTCAAGGCCACGATGAGCAGAAGGAGGAGGAGGCGGATGATGATGATGAGTACGAGTAGCATGACGATGACGAGGGCGTGCGAAGAGGGAGGGGAAGGGGGCGGAGGACCAGTGTAACCCCGAGACCCATCAACGATTTTGCAATATATCCTTCCTCCAAGTTCCCTCTTCACAGGTCCCTACAAGGGTTCATTCTCACTGAGGGAGGTGCCCCGTTGGAAGCCAACCGTTTGAAAATCCGGAACTGTGCCAGACCACCATTCCAGGGACCTCAACGCCGCGAACCACCGTTACTGTTGCGTCTTGACGATCTTGAATCGTGCCAGAGCGTCATTCCTGAGACTTCAACTCAGAGAATCAACGTGACTGTCGCGCCCTGGCATTCCGACATCGTGCAAAATCACAAGTTGTGGGACGTCAACCATAATAATCCTTGACATTGCTGCGAACTTATGAGCGCAGCGCTATGGCGAGAGCCACATTTTGAAAAGGAGCCGCCCTCCACCCGTGAAGCTGTTGCAAACTTCTCAAACGAATGCGCGCGACGCTAAGGCGAGAGCTACATTATTTTGAAAACGACCTGCCCTCCATCAGTAAAGCTGTTGCGAACTTTTTTGACGAATGTGCGCGGCGCTACAGCGAGAGCCACATTTTGAAAACCACCCGCCCTCCATCCGTGAAGCTGTTGCAAATTTTCAGCTTCAGGGTCTCGAGCGGTGAGCAAGTCTCAGGCGAAACGCCCGGCCCGCCCTTTCGACCGGCCTCGGGGTGCGACAGGGAGGAGCTGTTAATAAGGAAAATGAGTGGAGAAGGAGGAGGAGGAGATTGAGGAGGAGGAGGAGGCGGAGGAGGAGGAGGAGGAGGACAGGGGGGAGGAAGCAGCTAGTGGAGGCAGAGGAGCAGGGACTCCTTGGTGCGCAAAGCGGGCCTCGGACTCCGACCAACGACGTCGGCCTCTGGACCTCTCCCGGGGCCCATCCTTCAGGAGGGGAAAAAACACAGACACAATTCATCGTCGATTCCCCAGAAAATATGGGAAAATATGGGAAGTGGGGGGGAAGACAAAAACCCAGAAGATATGGGGAAAGATTGGGATGTTTTTTTGGGGGGTGTGTATTTATTTGTGTGTCCCAGGGCCCCTTTCAACCCTGTGCAGCTCCTCGCCCCAGGCCGCCGCTCGTGGCCCCCTTGCGGCCCGAGGCGCGCCTATATCCGGAGGCCGAGGCTGAGGGGCAGCCTGCCTCGACCCCCGGGCGGAGGGCCGGCCTGCCGGCGGGTGGGTGCCCCCCTCTGCGCTTCTCCTCCTCGTCCGCGTGAGGCTCTTGGCATCGCTCGGACGTGTGCATTTTTCCTTCGGCGAGGGCCATCGAGGAGCATCCTTGATCATTTGGCGAAAAAACCTCGCACGAAACCGAAAAAAACACAGGGACGTCTGAGCGATGGCGAGGGCTGGGTCCCGGCGAGCGAGGGCGCCTCCCGAGGAGGGGCGCCTGCCTGCGTGTGCCGCCCCGCACCTTGTGCCGCCCCCTGTGCACGATCCCCTCCACCGAGGGGCACGTTCTCCAAGCCGCTGCGGGAACGGAGCGGAGTCTCGGTGGCGCGCCCCTGGGAGGAAGCGAGAGGAGGCAGGCCTTCGCAGAGGGCGGCGGGGGCTTCTCGGAGGCCCTTCGGCCTTCTGAGAAGTGGTCTGTGCCTTCGGGGAAGGCCCAGAGCACTCCTCCGAAGGCGCGGGGGCTTCTGAGAAGCCCCGGCCGCCTCCCGAGGAGGCTTGCGCTCGCTCACTCCTCCCCGGGCGCGCCGCCAAGAGGCGCACTCGCGACGGAGGGGGCCGTGGCTGGCAGGAGCAGGGGCTTGCACGGGGGCTCGGATCTGCGCTTCGCGGCTCGCGGTATCGGCCGGCGGGGGGTTGGAAGCGCGAGGCTCCTCGCCGCAGCCTTCCTCATCTCCCTCCCCGCCGGGGCCGCCGCGTGACCGCGCAGTTCTTGCGAAGGCCTTGCGGCAAGCGCCGCCGACCCACAAGGGGGTCGACGACGACGACGACGACGACGACGACGACGACGACGACGACGACGACGACGATGACGGCTGCGACGGCTGCGACGGCGACGGCTGCGACGGCGGGGGCGGCGGCGACGGCGGCGGCGGTGGTGGCGGCGATGGCGGCCGCGGCGGTCGGCCGGCGGGGGGTTGGAAGCGCTGGGCTGCTCGCTGCAGCCTCCCTCGCCCCCCCCGCCCACCAGCGGCCGACCGCCAAAAGCTCGGGGGCGGAAAAGAGGGGGGTGATGACTAGGGGGGGGTGGATATCATGGCGGGGGCCATGATCTTTCCCCAGATTTCATGGCGCCTCTTCTTATTTCATTGCGTCCCTGGCCCCCCCGCTGGGACGCGCACATGCCGCCGGTCATGATTTGCACCCCCCCCTCTTGGACACCCCCCTCTTGGCCGCTCCCGAAAAGCTTGGAACAAGTGTGGTCGAGACTTGCACGGACGACGACAGCGAATCCGACTCTTGCTCACAACGCGTCTCCTGAGCGCCCCAGACTCTCGCGCCGCCCTCGTAGGGCTGGTCCCGCCGGACCGACATCGCGCGCTCGCCTCGCCTCGCCTCGCCTCGCCTCGCCTCGCCTCGCCTCGCCTCGCCTCGCCCCCCCCCCCCCCCGCAATGTGCGCCGCAGCAGCATAACCGCGAATATTCTTACGGTTGGGAACTTTGGGTTAGCGTGTCGCGCCGCCAGATCTGGCCCACCACGCCTCGGCGCGACACGCTGTCCACTATCCCATGCCCATGCGTGAGCGTTCCGAGCTTTTCCGAGCCTCTCGCCCTGTGGAGCGGAGCGTCACGCTGTTCACTCGCAGGGCATAGCGTGTCGCCATGGCCGCCGTGGCGACACGCTACGCAAACGTTACCGCCGACCCTTATTGAACGCCCCATGAGTGGGCAGACACCGCCGCCCCACTGTTCTTGGAACGTGGTCGCTTTGTTGTAGAGGTGGCAAGGAGCTCTGCGGTCTGAAGCAGTGGACAACGTGAACCTCACTTGTCCAGTGGGGTCGAAGACGGCCCGAGAAGTTGAGAATTGTCGCCAAAAACGTTCCACCAGGACTGCAGGGGCGTATGTTGGTGTCGTGCTCGAGGAATCTTCGGATACACTTCCGTTGAGGCTTCCATGAGCGCCCAGGATGGCCCCCGGGCGTTCCCCGTGATGGGGCTTCGAAATTGTTCCTGAAAGCCGAAACAATAGCCAGAGAGCGAACGAACATGTATTGAGCCTGCAGAGCGGGAGTCAAGGCGGACATCCCCGAAAGGGGAAGTTCGCACGCAGATTTTGCAATCAGTTGTCTTCGGGGTGTGGCTTCGACGAGGGTCGGTACCATTCGAGGCAATTTTTCTAGGGGTCATCTTTGCGTCCCTTGGAGGGGCAGGCGGTCGTAGGACCCCTTAAAACGGCCTTTTGGTGTCCATGGGCCACGAAGTGCGTGAGGGATGTGCCGAATCGAAGTGAGGGGTGCGCCGAATTGAGGATCCGTTCAGCCGTCTTGAGGGTCAGACGAACACCCCTGGAGTTCCATGGGGCACTAAATGCACAAAGGGGTGTACCAAGTTGAGGTCGTCTTTGAACGAAGCCAGCTCAGCACCCATGATGCCAGACTCGTCTGCGTTCAGATCAGATGGCGTGGCTGTCTCAAGCGAGTCGCGGGTTTCAGCACCCGGAGGGGGGGCGCCAGGGGGTACATCTCAGGCGGTGTACTTGTTTTGGTGGGCAGGCTCGTTTGCGTTCAGATCATATCGTGTGGCTGTCTCAGGTGAGGCGCTGGTTTCAGCACCCGGAGGGGGGGGGGGCGCCAGGGAATATATCACGGGCCCGTTCGTGCTCAGGTTGTTGGGACGTCTCAGGCGGTTTGCTGGTTTTGGTGGGCAGGCTCGTCTGCGTTCAGAGCAGATTGTGAGGATGACTCAGGCGGGGCGCTGACTCATCACAGACTCATTCTTTCCCACGGAGACTCGGCCACATCATCTCTGCCCTCAGACTCGCACCGACTCAGACCCGCTCAGACTCATCCAGACCCTCTCAGGAAATGCGCCTCAGACGCGTTCTCACTCGTACGCATTCCTACTCTAGCACTCCGACGCGCTCCTCCACTCCTCATATTCGCTCATACTTTTCTGGTGGCCCACTGCTCGCCGCGACGTTGCAGGCGTGGCATCCGGGCACCCCATGGGGGAGCCGCCAGGGGTGCGGGCACTCGGGATTCACTCACAGGTTATGGGGATGTCTCAGGCGGGTTGCCTGTTTCTGCCCCCCCCACGTGAGGCCCCTCCTTCCGCCTTCCCCCCTCTGTAAATTAAAGCTGTGCGCGGCCCGCTTAGCTTCGACCGGAAGAGGTGCGTTCTCGACCCGCGGATCAAAAAGGTTTCTGCCCCCCCCCCATCAGCATCCATTGGTTTCAGAGCAGAGTGTGAGGACGTCTCAAGCGGGGCGCTGGTTTCGGCACCCCAAGGGGGGGGCCGCCAGGGGTGGGGACACTCCAGGGTTCGTCTGCCTGTTTCTGTCCCCGATATCCTCTGCTGTCGGAGCAGGCTGTCAGGATGTCTCATGCGAATGCGAGGCGCTGGTTTCAGCACTCCCCAGGGCGAGCCGCCAGGGGGTGTATCACGGGCACGTTCCGCGCCGAACTCGTGGGGATGCCGCAGGCGGTTTGCTTGTCTGCATGCTCAACATCCTGTGCTGTCAACCATGCTCAGACCCACTCGTGCTCATACTCAGACCTCATGCCCATCAACCTCATACTCGGATCGCTCACATTCAGACTTGCTCATACTCAGACTCACTCATTCCCAGACTTACGCATACTCAGACGCACTCGGATTCAGACTCTCCTCAGACCTAGACTCACTCACGTTCAAACTCAATCATTCCCAGGCCCATTCACACTCAGACTCGCTCACACTCAGATCATTCACATTCAGATGTACGCACAGTCTTTTCTCTTTTGGTGGTCGAGTGCTCTCTCGCTCTTCCAGTTGTGCTTCCCTCATCTCTCTTTCAAGATGCCCAGAGGAGGAGGAGGACGTCACTGAAGTCGTCGCTGTCGTCGTCGTCGTCGTTGTCGCGCCGGCCGTCCACGCTGACTCGCCTTCAGTCGCAGATGCTCACAGATCGAGCTCCCCAGCGAGACGTGGCAGGAGTATGCGGTGCACATCTGGGGATCTCCGCCTCGAGCGATTGTCCACGGCCCCAGGGGCACCCACCGCTTCCCCGGGGCCAGCTCGTCGCCCCGGCTCCACGCTGGGCAGTCCTGGCCGGTTCCCGGAAACGGCCTCCGAGGGCCGAGGTCGAGGGAAACTCGGGGGCGGAAAAGAGGGGGGTGATGACTAGGGGGGGGTGGATATCATGGCGGGGGCCATGATATTTCCCCAGATCCCAGATCTCGTGGCGCCTCTTCTTATTTCATTACGTCCCTGGCCCCCCCGCTGGGCGGCGCGCATGCCGCCGGTCATGATTTGCACCCCTCCCTCTTGGACACCCCCCTCTTGGCCGCTCCCGAGGAAACAGCCCGGTGGAAAACTCATCCTCGGAGATCTGGGATGCTTGCGCGCCTTTGGCCCGCTGGGCCGACGTGGTCGCGCTTCGCGCAGCGCTAGCGCGACCTCTGCCGCCGCCCTTGAGGAGTGCCTGCGGCTCCTCGTGGAGATCGTCATGCGCGGGGATCCCAAGGCGCTGCGCGGGCAGCTGCCGCTGCAGGAGCTCGCGGAGGCCCCCCCCTCTCTCTCTATCTCTCTCTCTCTCTCTCTTTCTGTGCTCTCTCTCTCTCTCTTTTTGTTGTCTCTCTCTCTCTCTCTCTCTGTATGTGTATGTCCATATACGGATAAATCGATCTGTCAATACATCTATATACGTACACATGTATTGCGCTCTCTCTCTCTCTCTGTCGCTCTATCTCGCGCTTTCCTGTTACCCAATCAGTGATTGCACTTATGCGCTGAGGGGTTCTTATATCCGTAAGGGCTTCGCCCCCAGCCGCCGGCCCCCTCTCTCGGATAATGGGCTATGCAAGAGCTAAATCATGAGGCCTCGGTGCCGCCGTGAAGCAGAATCTGCAAGAGAAATTGAGATTCTGATGATATTGTGGAATTCAGTGTTGCATTTAGAACGATGATGATACGCGAATATAGCATACATTGCGAGGATTTATGGCTTCGGGGTCGCAAGTATAGCGTAATTTGCTCAGGTTGATGGCTTCGGAGATTCGAACATTCTGTATTTGACAAGGGTTTCTGGCTTTGGACACGCAGATATAATGTAATTTGCTATGGTTTATGGTTTCGGGGTCGCAAATAGAGCGTAATTTACGCAGGCTAATGGTTTCGGAGGCATTATTATTGCATAATTTACGATGGTTTGCGGCTCCGGATGCGCGGCTACAGCATACTTTGCAAGGGTTTATGGTTTCGGGGCCGCGAACATTTAGTAGTTCTCAGTGGTTTATTGCATCGGGAACGCAAGCATTATGTAATATACAAGGGTTTATGGCTTCGGAGACGTGACTATCGAGTAATTTAACGACAGTTTATGTGTTCGGGGACGCGAATATTGTATGAATTGCAAGCGTTTTTGGCCTCGGGGACGCAAGTACTGTATACTTAAATCGGTTTTATGGTTTTTGGGACATGAATATAATGTATTTCGCCAGGGTTTATGGCTTCGGGGAAGCGAACATTGTGTAATTCACAAGGGTTTATGGGCTCGGGGACGCGAATATAGTGTAATTTACGAGGGTTTATGGATTCGGGGGCGCGAATTCTATGTATTTTTACGTGTCCCACGCCCCCCCCATGAATTCAGGCAACGCGACTCGCGCGTGGTAATCAGGACGCTTTTCGGCTCCCCCCCCTCGCGCGGTCCATCAACAAGGAACAGTAAGCAGCAAGAAGCAGAACTGTAACACTGGAAACTGGAAACTGGAATTGGTGCAGGGGACATCAAACCCTACCCTGAGCCTCCAGCCTGGTGGCCCCGCAGGGGGGCCGGCGGATTTCTGTTCAGAAGAACTGGGCCGGTGTGGAGGTCTGGCGGCTATGTTGGTGCCGTCGCCGCCTCGCCGCCGCTTCGTCGACGCCCGTCGAGGCAGTCTGCGGCTATCTTGTCGCCGTCGCCGCCCCTTCGCCGCCTCGTCGCCGCCCGTCGTCTGGGCCGGCATGGCGGTTTGGGGGCTGTGTTGTCGCCGTCGCCGCCCCGTCGCGCTTCGTCGCCGAACGTCGTTCGGGCCAGTCGTGGCAGTCTGGCGGCTGCGTCGTCGCCGTCGCCGCCCCGTTGCCGCCTTGTCGCCGCCCTGGATTGCACAACATGATTCTTCTTTTTTCTAAAAGGGAATTCGGATCTCCCCCCCGAATTCTTATCCGTACCCCGGGGGGGCGCAACCTATTTACGATTCTGCCTCATCGTTCTCGTTCACTCTGAATATGAATTCATACCATCCCTGCTGGGCTGGATTCTCCCCTCACCATCCTCGTCTAATGAAACTATGCGCATGCACTCGTTCACCACAGGTCATCTATTTGCAAGAGTCCCCTGCAACAGCGCGCGCGTCGTCGTGCGCGCATGCCGAAATCTTTCGCACACCGTGCCTTTTTTGTGTAAGGATTTCAATGTTCGCCAGCGTGGAATCGAAACAGTCGGTGTCGGGACAACTATGGTGTGCAATCAATGTGGAACACTTCGTGTCGTGCAATCCTTGTGTTGCAATCTGCGTGGTGCAATCTAAGTGGTGCAAGCTATGGTGTGCAATCATTGACGTGTAATTTGTGTGGCGCAATCCATGTGGTGCAATCGGCACCACATTGATTGGACAACATCGATTGCACCACGTAGATTGCACCACTTAGACTGCGCCCCATAGCTTGCACAAAACACAACGCACACACACATATATATATACATATATATGCTTATGTGGAACAGCGCAGATCACACCACATGGGCTGCATAGCATTCATTGCACCACGCTGGGTGCACAACATATATTGCACCACGTATATTGCACAACTTAGATTGCATCACGTACACTGACCACTTAGGCTGCACCACATTGACTGCCAGAGTGCACCACGTTGATTGCACACCATGGATTGCACCACGTGGTGTGCACACCATGTACTGCACCACATTAGTTGCATCGCTTAGACTGCACCACATTGACTGCACAACATAGATCGACCTTCGTAGATTGCACCACTTTTACTGCACCCTCTAGCTTGCACAGCATATATTGAACCACGCAGATTGCACCACATGGGTTGCACGACATGTATTGCATCACGTTGGGTTCACTACATCTATTACACCACATATCCGGCAGTGCACCACACATATTGCATAGCATAGATGCACCACATGGGTTGCACAACGCATGTTGCAAGAAACGCATTCTTTGGGGTCCACGTTGGCTAAAATTATACATCTAGGGGTTGTGCTTTTTCTCTCTCCCTCTCTCTCTCTCCTCCCTTTCACATTCTCTCTCTATTTCTTCCCCTGTCTCTGTCTTTTCTTCTCGCACACTCGTCCCTTCTTCCTCTATCTCCCTCTCTCTCTATAGTCGTCTCTCTATCTCTTTTCTCGCTTTCTCTTCCATTATCTGTTTTCATTTTCTCTCTCTCTTTCGTTCTATTTCCATCTCCCTCTCCCTCACCCTCCCACCCTTCTCCTCCATCATCCTTTGTATTTACCTGCTGGGCGTGCTCGGATTGGCTGCCCGCCTGTCTGTCCGCCTGTCGTCCTTTTGTTGCTCTCCTGCACCTTCTTCATGCCCTTCGCGAAGGGCGCTTTCCAGGAGTTCGGCGAGGGTTCTGCTCAATTCTGCTTTCAGGGTGCGCATGGTGCGCATCTGCTAGTCTGGCCATGAATTTTCGGACGGGCTCTGTGTCTTATGTGAGGGGCATCCGGGCTGAGACTCATGGCCTGAGCTGCGTTTTCTAGGTCGCCCGCGGGGGCCCGAGGGTACTCGCGGCCGCGCGTCGCGGTCCGGGCCGCGGGGCTGGCCTTCTCAAGGTGGCGGCGCGAGGGCGCGAAGATGACCGCTTGTCGTGCAGCGCTGGGCGTGCGAAGGTCGGTGACCCCGGTCCTGCCGAGCGCGCAGCGGCCAGTCGCTTGTGCTGCTCGCGCTGGGGACCGCGGGCAGGAGGAGGAGGAGGAGGAGGAGGAGGAGGAGGAGGAGGAGGAGGAGGAGGAGGAGGGGGAGGGGGAGGGGGAGGGGGAGGAGGAGCTTGCAGGGAAGGACTTGCGCATGCCCTGGGCAGCACGTATCTCTCTGGCTCGAAAGGCCGCAGGCCGAGGTCCGCCTCAGAGTGGCCTCGTGCGTGCGCGGTGCCGAGCTCCGGTTGCGCGCGCCTCCGGCGCCCTGGGCCCGTGCCGCGCGGCGAAGCGCTCAGAGAAGGCCCTGCACGGTGCGGTGGTCGGGCCGGACGAAATGGGGGGATTGGGAAAGGGGGGGGTACGAAATTTGCTGCATGCAGCTGGTTTCGGCTTCACAGAGGGGCCCATTCCTCGATACATAGCTCCCTCCGGCGCCGGGAGGCGCCGGGGAAATCAGCTACGCGAGCTGATTCTCAAACCCCCCTTTGCTATCCCCCCCTTTCGCCCGACCCGAGGTGGCCACGCCGTCGGGGTGAGCCGGTGCGGATTCGGGGGCCGAGGGCATCAAGCAGTGGCGAAGCGTCCTGGCGTGCCTGTAGCCCTACCAAACAATGTTCTGAGAGCCTTGTGTGGTTCCCACGAGATGTTCTTAGAGCATTTCTGGTTGGGGCTGTCTTGTTTTAACACGTCGGGTCAATGTCCTAAGAACATTGGTTTTGTTCTTAGAACATTTTTGGGTTCTAAGAACATTTCGTGGTATGACTATCGGAATGCCGGGACGGTCGGTCCCTGCTCAAGGGCACGCGTTTGTGGCTTGGGCCGTTCTCCGAGGACGTCTCGGGCGGCCGGGGCATCCGTGGCCCCAAGACCGTGCTGTGGCGTCGTCGGGGGTGCCTGGGTCATCGTACGGCTTGTCGCCACACCGTCCTGGGACCCCCAGCCGTAGACACGCTACCGGCGATGTAGGCAACGGCGATGCAGGTTTCGGTATTCTAGGTGGGGGTCGTTCGTGGCCAACCCAATTGTAGGAAAGCGTTGTTCGCGTGGCCTACGATTCGTCGTGCCTTTTTCGCTCAATCCATTTGCGTCCCTGAAATGTAGGACAGTGTGGTTCGTGATTTCGTACCACTTGTCCTGCGCGAGCTCGGCGTCGCAGTACACCACATTCCCAGCATCGCCGCTAGCCAACATCGCCGTTGGCGTGGCCCTGGCCCGAGAAGCTCTCAAGATGCTCAGACGGTTCGGGCTTTGGCCCTCACGCCCGCCGGGGAACCGGCCGGGCCTGGTGCTGGGCACCTGGTGCGGCCGCCATGCCGCGGCGGCGCGGCGATCGCGGCGATCGCTGTTCGGCCGTTGTGGTGTAGCGTCCACATCCACGCGCCGGCAGTGCCCCCCACCCGTGCAGGTTCAGCGGCACTGTGACGGGTACTCGCTAACGGTCACCTTGGGAAATTGCCGAAGGTTGCCCATGCAGGGCTCCTTCCTGGCATTGCAGCGTTGCCCACGTCGGGGGGCATTGGGTTCGCTGGGTCACTAGCCAAAGTGCTCTTAAGTGGAGTCCCCAGTTAGAAGGGCGCTGGCAGGTACTGCAGCCACTCACAGCCATCCTTCCGACACTTGTGGCAGGATTTCCCTGTGAGTTCACCCACGACCGCACCTGAGGGGAGACTCGCCCTCCCCCACAACTTCTGTGCCTCACAGCCTCGAGTGACGAGCGAGTCTGGACGGATAGCCTACCACGCAGATCCGTCTGCCATGACGCGTGCGATGGTTTCGGCGGCCACGTGCGAGCTAGCGCCCTGCGTCCTCCGTCGGACTTCGCGGGGAAGAAGGCATCCTCCACACACTTGACATCGAGGGGCGTAGCCTGAGGACCTGCCGCACTGGAATCACTCCAGAGTCGGGGTGATCCGGCCGCCATGCCGACCGAGGCTGCGCGGCGATCGCGGCTCGGCCTGTCACTTTGGCTACCCATGTTTCTCAGCTGGGATTCTGGGAATTCGCCCGCAGCGCCTTCGGCTACTTGTGTTTTTCATTCGTCGAGTATTTTGCGATGTTGGGTCGATGGTCGGCACCGGACTCCTTCTGTGCGCGAGGCGCTGCACTCCCTGCCATGACTAGGCGCTTGCCCTGCTGTTCTACTTCTTTGAGCCGCGGCCTCAAGGTTTACCTGCTTTGGGGCCTGTGCCCCCCTTTTCCTGCTTCGCTCGGTCTGCCCGTGCGGAGGTCAAGAGCGCCGCGAGTATTAGATGGTGGCCCGCGTTTTTGTCTGTAAGTCGCTCTGTGAGTGGGTCGGTCTAGTCAGACAGTGTGTCTGCCGATCTGCCGTTGCCTCTTTCTGATCGCCGGTGTCTGCTTGTGGTCGGAGCAGCACGGCGGAGGGCAACAGCAAGACCGTGACGTTCACGAGGCAGTCGAGGAGTGCGTCGAGCACCACGCCTCCGAGCAGCAGGACTGGCACCAGCGGCATGACGCGGAGCCATGCGTTGGATCCTTGGGTGGGGTCCGTTGGCCCATGATATGAGCCGTAATCCCAAAGGGTTTGCTCAATGCAGCGCAACGTGGAGGAGGGAGGAGATTACTCGGTAGGACGTGCGGAGAGGTTGGACGAATGCGATCCCACAAGCATGCAGCACCACTTAGGGCTGCATGCTGTCTTACACAGCAGAAGAGCTGTAATTCCAAAGGTGACGGTCGACTGGTGGAGGATGGCTGGGCTCCCAATGGGCTCGCAGGCTCGCTTGCGTGGCGCAAGGCGTCTTGGATGCTGGGGTACTGCGATGTGGAATTGCGTTGCGGCCCGTGTCCTGTGAGCGCTCCAGTCCAGAGAGTCCGCTGTGGGAGAGCACTTGGCAGGTGGCCGAGTTGTCTGCTCCCGCTGCGAGGTCCCTTGAACTGCCAGGCCCAGCGGCGGCGGCGATGGTGATGGTGTTGGCGACGAGGGCGACTGTCCCAGTGCCGCGGTTCGATGGTAAGGCGCGACACATGGAGGGGGCAGCGAGGGCTGCAGAACAGGGCCCCCAAATCGGGGGTGGATAGACCTCCTACCCTGACACGTCGATTAAGGAGTTTGCCGTTTTCGGTTCGCGTGAGGGCGTCGCGGCCGTCATTTTTGCGGGTCCAGGTCCGTCGGTCTCGGTCCCAGGCCGTTTTCACTAAGGGGAGGTTTACTAAAGGGAGGTTTGTCCACCGCCGAGAAAAGGATACCTCCTCCCCCGTCATTTATCGCCCCCCATTAATGCGCGCCCCATTCGGGCACTACCCAGCATGCCGGCGCCCTCTGGTGAGGCCGCCGCTTGGGTCACTGGTGTGTCTGCACACGTGGTCGGTACGATGACCCTGTTGGTCCGAGAGCCGAAGGCGGGAGCCCGATCTGTGCTGCAGAACGTCGGCGGCGAGGGAGGGGGGGAACTGAGACGGAGAGGGCCTTCTCAGAAGGCGGCGGGACTTCTCAGCCGCCCTCGCGCCTTCTGGGAAGTTTTCTGTGCCTTCGGGGGAAGCTTAGAACACTTTTCAGAAGGCCTGGGGACTTCCGAGCCTACTGAGAAGGCCCGCGTCCCCGGGCACGTCGCCGAGGACGGGCTTGCTCTCCAGATGCCTTCTGATACGTGTGCTGGGCATGGCCTGCGGACGCCTGCATGTCTACTGCTGTGCCTGGTGGTGCTGGCTTGTCGACAGCCTCGATGCAGTGATTGTGGAAGTGGTCAGTGTGAGTACCCTGCTGGGCACATCTATGCCCTCAGGTGCTGCCTTTTCTAGGCGTGAGGGTGGCAGCTTGCTGGCGCAAGCGCCCGGTGCGGGGCGAGGAGGTCTTGGAGACCAGCCGTGGCTGAGGCTCGTTTTCGGTACGGAGTCACTAGTTTTTTCATGAGCTGACAACTAGCACCCATAAGTTAGTTGCACGTCCCCCAGAATTGCCAGGGTGGACATTTTGTTGGGGGGCTGTGGGCGTGTGTTGTCGGATCCGGGCCTCCGCTCGCGTGGGGGACCTCGCGGGGTCCGACAACCCGCACCCGTGCCTATAACGCGCCCTCAAGCCGCGAGTCGTGGGTCAGCACCCCCTATAGGTATGAGGGCGTGACGTCCGTTCATCATCGTTGGGTGTGCCTTGCCCTCCTCCTCCTCCTCCTCCTCCTGCTACTCCCCCCTGTTTGTTAGGAGGCAGCCTGATTGCGTTGGGTTCTGTCCATCTGGCCATGAAGCAAACGGGTCCTGAGGGAAACGGGTGCTGAGGTTCATCGTCGTGGCACTGTAGCCATTATGGCTCAAGGTAGCCCAGACGGAGAGGCAGGCATTGTCCGTGAGTAACGCAGGCCCAGACAGGGTGCACGCCATGGCGACTCGCCAACTGGAAGGGCCACATGCCGAAACCGCACCAATGATGATGGGCATGGCCGCGGAGGCGAACGAGCTGGCCCATTTGGAAGACACCCCGTTTTATAAAACGCTCAAGGACGCGTGTATCCTCGTGACGACGTATCGGAAGCAGTGTTTCGAGGACATATTCGATGGGGTGGACCTTTCGGCGAACTCCTCCAAGTCCAACGACCTCATGCAGAAATGCATATTCGGTTACTATGTGTGCCCAGTTGTTGGGTGCATTCTCTACAAGACGACCCACACGGAGTTTTTCGTCCCGGCCGGCCACGTTGGGCTTTTGATGAATGAGAAGCAGAGTACCTCTTCGCGCAGCCTGGCATGCACAACATCGGCGGATGCTTCATGAAGCACTGCGGAACGCACAAGCTCCCCACGAACGACGCACTCGTGCACGGAAACAGGTGTATTCTGATGGTGGAACAGGGCTTCTTGGGGCTGGCCTTCGACAACGGCCAGCCCGTGCTCCTGCCTCCAGGCATACACGTCTGGACATCCGACACGCTGAGCTACAGCAAAGCGATCTCGCTAGACCAGCACATGGTCTCGCTCGGTCCTTACACTCTGGTCACCGTGGACGAGGGCTACGCAGCTGTGACGCAGAACAACGGCAAACAGCACATTCTTCCTGGCGGTGCCACGCATCTGTTAAACCATAAGAATTGGCGGTTTGAGAAGTTTCTGACGTTGAAGATACAAACAGACGATCTCGAGCAAATCAAGGCCACCAGTGCTGATAATATCACCATGCGGGTGACGTCCACAGTCACTTGGTGCATCAAGAACCCGACTCTGGCTGCGACAATGGGCGCCGAGACGATGGCGGTTGGAACCGAGGCAGTCTCTTCAGATATCGCGAAGTTGCGTGGGGACGTGCTCAAACAAGCCATTGCGTCCTTGGCAAGTTTCATCGGTGGTGTCAACTACTCCGACAGTTTCCACGTGGCCGCGAATGTTCAGGGTAAAAAGTCGAGTGCGCGTGGCGGAGGCGGAAATGAGCCGGAGTCGGAAGAGAAGACGAGCAAAGCCATGGACAACCCGTTGTACGACGTAAGACGGATGAACGACGCCGTGGCGCACGCCAACGTGACGGCTATGACGTACGGCGTGGAGATACTCTCCATCAACATCCTCTCGGCGGTCCCGATCGACGTCCAGCTCACGAAGGCGCTGGCCTGCGGCGCGGTGGCCAGCGCCCAGGCCCTCCAGGCAGAGACGGCCGCCAGGGGCAACGCCAAGGCGATGAAGCTCGACGCGACCGCGGCCGCGGACAAGGCGAAGATCGAGGCGGAGGGCCAGGCCCAGGCCGAGGTCATCCGTGCCAAGGCCACGGCGGAGTCCGCGCGCCTTGTGGCCGAGGGCAACAAGGACGCCGCGAACCTGCTGTCCACGAACGCAGTCGCCGTGGACCTGGCCAGGATGGATAAGAGCTCGCAGCTCATCGGCAAGAGCGATAAGTTCTTCTTTGGCCAGGAGCCCAGCTACCTGTCGAGCCTCGTCCTCAAGGGGGATCACGCGAGCAAGGGTGCGAAGGGAGGTATGTTTAGTTGAGTTGAGGCCCGGCGTTATGCCTCCTCGCATAACTTGGTCTCGTAAGATGTGAACCATCTCGCTCTTCCACGCGCTGAAGACGTTGCGCAGACGCACCAGGAGTCGGCACGTACTTTTTGGCAATGGTGGTTGTGAGTCGCCCTCCTGGCTCATGACTGATGGCCTCTCCAGACACGTGTACAGAGTAAAGGCCCGATTCACAGTAGTTTTGAGAGCGGACCTTCCGGAGTATCGTGGATGGGGACCACCCTGATGATTCATCAAGTTGCTGTTCGTTGCTCATTGGTCGGAGCAGTTCCTCGCTTGTCGTGACAGCTCTCAAGCTGCCGTGAACTTTTGAAGGTACGTAATACTTACATAATCCAATTCACAATACTATGCTCGTGTGATTTCGGCTCCGTGCTCAGTCAGGCTAAGTTCTTTGTTGAGCGCGGTGCACGTCAGTAACAGCTGACAGCGTTTTCTGAAGTGACTTCGATGAGCCCATCTGCCCCAGTGGCAGCCCTCTGCCAGCTGTTGCAACAAAAACACTGTTGGGTGTGCTGGGCTATCTGCTGCGTTTCCGCTGCTCGAGGTGCTGGCGGTGCACATCGCTGCATGGTTCGGGGCCCCCTCTGCCTGGGCCTGGGCTGCGGTGGCTCGGGCGGTTGCGCGAGAGGAGGTCTGGTGTTTTGGATGCCGCTGTCGGGTCTGCTGCCGCTGGCCTGGTACTTTGGGTCGGGGTTGGCTGGCGACACTCCTGGTGGCCTGATAGTCTGCGCCCTCCGTATCGCCTGAGATTGCGATTGCGATTTTGCCTCTCTATTGGCGTCGCGGGCCTGCAGTGCGTCCATGGGCTCCTCTACCCTGCCCAGTGCGCTGGTCTGCTCTAAGATGGCGTCCTCAATGTTCAGCGCCTCTTGGAAGATCACAGCTTGCCGGTGAACGACCGTCTCCTGTTTGTCCTCCAACATGCTGATCTCATGAGCTGGAGGCTGGTGGGGTCGCCGCGCTCGAGGGCGCTGTTGCACCGCTTGATCAGGACTGCGGTGTGCTGTCCGACCCTTTGGTCGTATGCCCTGCGTAGCCCGGTATCGGTCGGCATCAGACTGAAGTCACGGCGGCCTAGGCCTCCCAGATGGGGTCAGAGCGGATGGGGTCGGAGGATGCGATGCATCGACGATGTGGCTCGATATTGAGCCCAATTTTCTCCACCCCGACGTCGCCGATGCATCGCCGACGTCGCCAATGCATCGCTGATACATCGCCGATGCATCGCCGACGCGGCGCGATCCTCCGACCCCATCTGCTCGGACCCCATTTGAGAGGCCTCTAGGTGGGCCTCGGCCTCCCCCGCTGATGAGTGCAACATCTGGCTGCGGGTGGCGGGCTGGGCGCCGGGCTGCGTGTGGACGCCCAGCTGTCGAGCCTCCCATGTGCTGCCTGCTTTTTTGTGCGATGGAGCCCAGCGTGTTTATCCAGCAGCACACCTACGCCGCGCTCACCCTCGCGGTGCTCCGACGGGACACCGCGAAGTCCCAACCGGACGCCCGCCCTGGGCCCCACTGTTTGCACTCCCGCGTGCCCGTCCCCAGGGCCCGGTGGCGTGCCTGTGCGATGCGTCTGTGCCTCGGGAGAATCAGAGCCATTACGCCCTGACGATGCTGCGGCTGAAAGAGGGGCAGGGATAGTGCCCACCGTGCGGAAGAAAATAGCAAGCAGGGAAGGCGTTCTGGTCTGAGTTCCGTGTCTCGGCCGCTTGCGCAAGACAGCTTTGCTACGTTGCCGTGGCTACGCCCGAATTCGTTTATCTGTACTGGCCATGTCTCGCGTGATGGCTCGCCAACTGCAGGTTGGTCCTCCAGTGATGTATAGGTTTGCTTAGTGCACGTGGTTGGGCACCATAGTTGTGTTCGATTGAACGAGCAAGCATGCAGGGAAGGCGTCGTCGTCAAGGGCCACCATCACTTCGAGGCCTGCGTGCCCGAGAGGGCTCTGCAGAGGTGCGGCTGAAGGACAACATCCTGCATCGCCCGCGCGACAGGCGTGCCAGCGCGAATTTCAGCGCCCCCCCCCCCCTGCCCCCCGGTTCAATGTTGGTTGGCATCGCCAGCAGGGTGCCAGTCGACACATCGACACATCGCGTGGCAGACCGCCAACGTTACAGTGGGGCCGCGGGGGGTGTTCGCAAGCATCAGCACACAAACATGGAGCAGGGTTTTGTCCATCAGCCGTGGGAGCCGGAGAGGCCCCTCGTCGGCGCGCACGTGGCGCTTGCGCGCGTTCGCCGTCCTGCGAGAGGCGCGCGGGCCCTCGGCGGTGTCAGGGGCGGGGGAGCGCTCGCGGCGCGCGTGGCCTCGCGAGGGCGGGGGCAGCGACGGCGAGGCGCCGCGACGGTGGGGCCATGGAGAGCGCGACAGTCTCCGCCCCCCGCCACCCAGGGGATCTGAGCTGCCCCGATACGCCCTTGTTGAGAGGCAGCGCGTGCCGTGTTCAAGACGGTCAGTGTGAGCACGCTGCGTGCTGGCTCGGCCTGTTGGCCCACGTGCTGGCGAGCGCACCGCGCCAAGCGTGCGCTTTCGGTCTCCGTGTTGAGCTCAGTGTCAAACGCTACGTGTTGCGTGTTGCGTATCGGGGCGGCGATGGCGGGGGCGCCGCGGCGGTGTGGCCCTTGAGAGCGTGTCTCGAAGAACAGAAACGGCATAAACATACTTTCTCGGAGGTCCGCGATGATCTTGGAAACCCGTTCGGGCCTCCGAGGTATTATGTTTATGCAGCTTGTGTCCCTCTAGTGACAGCCCCCCCTTGCAAGGGATTCGTACCACTGTGCAGCCATCCACTCGTGGGCCCGCCTTGCTCCTCTTCTTCCTTCACCCTGACTTTTTTTTGTTCCTGGCGTCGGGGTCCTTCTGTGACAGGGCAGCCGGATGGCCTCCCCCGCTGCCTTCTCAGAAGCTCGTTGATTGGCCTCGACGCCAGCCTCATCGTGTGAAGGAGGAGAGACATCCGGTCTCACTGCAGAAGCCCATGAGTCCCTCGCATCGCTCCTCGCCCCTGCCACTGTGGGGACATCAGCCGCGTCTGCATGTGGTCGCGCCGCCAGCCACCCCCCCCAAAGAAAGGGCGAAAGCCTCCGCCCCCTCGCGTCCCGCCCCCCCTCTCGCGCCCCTCTCCCGCCGCCGCCGCGTCGTTCCGAGGCGGGGAGCTGTCCTTAGCCACTGCCTGGGGCATAGACCCTGCGGCGACCTCCGTGGGCGGTGGTCTTGGATAGATTTAAGTCGGGCCTGTCCCCCTACAGAAGGGCTTTCGAGGAAAAATAAAAAATACCCCAAAATAATCAAAAAATAATCCAAAAATAGTCGGGGGATTATTTTTTGAGTATTTTCTGACCTTTTCGGGGTTATTTTTCGTCGAAAATCCCCCCTGTATGGGGGGACGCGCCCGACTTAAGGACAGAGCTCCGCCTCGCAGTCCTGCCGTCGTTCGCGGCCCCTGCCGTCCTGAGCCTCGAGCCGCGTGCGGGGCCCGCGCAGAGTCCGCCCCCCCCACGGGCCCGGTGCCTCGCCTCGCTCCTGGCCAGTGTGCGCCACGGAAGGAGCTCGCCCCTCGGCGGTGCCTTTGGGGCCTTCGGTGGAGCTCCCTATGGGCCACAAAGCGTGTGAGGGGTGTGCCGAATTGGGTGTGCGTGACGCATGCGGGCAGTGGCACTGGGGCCTTCAGTGGAGCTCCCTATGGGGCCACGAAGCGTGTGAGGTGTGTGCCGGCTCGGCTTCGGTGTGCGTGACGCATGCGCATGTCGCCCCTGCCTCCCTCCCTTCGAGTTGGAGATCGACTGCACCCCATACTCGAAACGGATCTGTGAAAAAGTTCACCATCTGTTCGTAGACCCATGACCACATGTTTGCTCTTCGACTCGGCGAGCGAGTAGTTGACGAACCAATTCTGTAGTCGATCTCGTACTCGATCCCTGCCTCCCGTCCCCCCTCCGTCCGCCCCCGATTTCCGTCCCTGGCTGAGCTGCCCTGATACACCCGTTTTGAGAGGCAGCGCGTGCCGTGTTCAAGACGGTCAGTGTGAACACGCTGCGTGCTGGCTCAGCGTGTTGGCCGACGTTCTGGCGAGCGCACCGCGCCAAACGTGCGCTTTCGGTCTCCGTGTTGAGCTCCGTGTCGCGCACGCTGATTGCGGGCTGTGTGTTGCGCATTGGGGCAGCTAAGCTCCGCGGCCCCGGTCCCTCCGGCGGGTCGCTGCGGGTCCCGTGGCGAGACGGGCGCGGACAGGCCTGGGAGACCGCCATACGCGAGGGCTCCACCTCCACCAAGAAGGGCCTGCCGGAGGAGGCCCGACGGGGCGGGAGGAGCGGGAGCGGCGGCCGCGGGGGGCTGGACGAGGCCGAGCGGCGCGCAGAGAGCGAGGGCAGGGCGAGGGGGGGCGGTCGCCGCGAGATGGGGGGGCAGAGGAATCCTCCTCCTCCTCCTCCTCCTCCTCCTCCTCCTCTTCCTCCTCCCCGTCCTCCTCCTCCTCCTCCTCTCTTCCTCCTCCTCCTCCTCCTCCTCCTCCTCCTCCTCCTCCTCCTCCTCCTCCTCCTCCTCCTCCTCCCCCTCCTCCTCTCTGGGCGAGGGCGAGGAGGGGGCCTCTGGGAGGGGCCTCGGTGCCCCGAGAGCCAGGCGCCCCCACGCCCGCCGGAGGGGCGCGTGGGGGGGTCCTCTCGGAGGGCCGCCGCCCCTGTCCCTGGCCCTCGGAGCGCTCCGGCAAAGGCACTGGACGAATGGTGGGCAGGGTGAGGATGGGGGCGGTGAGCATAGGGGAACAAAAATCACCACCCCCCAAACCACCCCAACCCAACCCGAAGGCCCCAATTTATCCTCGATTTCCAGTGGGGGGGGGTCGTGGAACATCGAGAAAACACATATGCAACCCGTACCCCCCCCAACCCGAAATTGGGAAAGGCGAAAGGCCGGGCGAAAGGGGGGGATTGGGAAACGGGGGGTTACGAAATTTGCTGCATGCAGCTGGTTTCGGCCTCACCGAGGGGGCCACTTCCTCGATACATGACCGCCTCCGGCGCCGGGAGGCGCCGGGAACATCAGCTACGTGAGCTGATTCTCTCACCCCCTCCCTTTGCTATCCCCCCTTTTCGCCCGACCCGAATGGTGGGCAGGGTGAGGATGGGGGGGGTGAGCATAGGGGAACAAAAAGTGGCACAAACATAAAGACTCGGAGGTCCGCGCGGATTTCTCGGATCGGCGCTGGGGCCCCCCGGCGGCGCCTCCGGCGCCGCCCCTGGCGCGCTCCGCGCGCCAGGGAGTGGGGTCCAGCGCCGATCCGAGAAATCCGCGCGGACCTCCGAGTTTTTATGTTTATGCCATTTTTTGTTCCCCTAGAGCAGGCGAGGAGGATCCGAACCGTGATGGAGAGCAGCAGTGAGGCGTGGGAGGGGAGGGGGGGGCGATTTAGATCCCAGGGCAAAGCACCAGCCAGTCGCTTGTGTGGTGCTTCCCCACGCATGATCATATTATGCGTACGGTTGCTGCTGGCATGCGTGTGCGTGTGCGTGTGCGGGGTGGGTGCGGGTGCGCGTGTGTGTGTGTGTGTGTGTGCTTGTATGGATCTGCCCACATCCGTCTGCATGTCTATAGCATGCAGGTTTGTCACACCTCCATTTTCTCTGCAGCTAACTCGTCATCTCTAACGCCAGTCGCCATCACCACCCCGATGACTATGGCAACGCGCGCACACACATATTCATACACATATAGATGTACGCATGCACACATATATACATATGCAGCACACACGGTTTTGTCGATAGTATTGTGTGCATGAGTACACATTCGAATACCGTGTAAGCACACGGATGTTTATGTTTGTATGTATTTATGCATACGTGCATGGGCATTGAGGTATGCATATGTGTATGTATGTATGTAAGCATGCATGTATGTGTGTGCATTCAAGCATGCATGCACGTTTGTATATACGCACGTATGCATGCATGTACGTGTGTGCGCGCGTATGTATGTATGTGTGTATGTATCTATGTATGCATGCATGCGTGTATGTGTGTATGTATCCATGTATGCATGCATGCGTTCATGAACGCATGTGTGTATGTCTGCATGCATGCATGCATACATGCCTGCATCTATGCATGACAGTGTGTATATTTGAATATGCATGTATGCATGTATGTATATACGCGTGCATTTATGTATGTATGTGCACATGCATGTATGTACGTAGTCATGCATGCATGCTTGTATGCCTGCATGTATGCGTGTATGTAGGTATGCATTGTTGTGTGTATGCATGCGTACATTCATGTATGCATGCATGTATGTGCGTACGTATGAAGGTGTGTACGTATGCATGCGTGCATGCATGTCTGTATGTACGCATGTCTGCATGCCTGCATGCATGGATGTATGTATGTATGCTTTGTGTATGTGTGTATGTGTAGGTGTATGTGTATGTGTATGTGTATGTGTACGTGTATGTGTATTTATGTATGTATGTATGTATGTATGTATGTATGTATGCATGCATATCTCTATGTATGTATGTATGCATGCATGCATGCATGCATGCATGCATGTGTGTATATATGTATGTATGTATGTATGTATGTATGTATGTATGTATGTATGTATGTATGTATGTATGTATGTATGTATGTATGTGTGTGTGTATGTATGTATGTATGTATGTATGTCTGTATGTATGTATGTATGTATGTATGTATGTATGCACGGATGCATGAATGCATGAATGCATGCATGCATGCATGTATGCATGCGTGCATGTATGCGTGTATGTGCGCATGCATGTATAGATGCATGTATGTATGTAGGCTTGTATGTATGTCTGTCTGTCTGTCTGTAGGTCTGTATGTATGTATGTGTGGCTGTAACAGTATGTATCTATGCACGTATGCATGTATATATGTATGCATGTATGCATGTATGTATGCATGTATGTATGTGTGCATGTACATATGTACGCACATGTGTATGTGTGCATGTCTGTATGTAGGTAGGTAGGTCGGTCGGTATGCATGTATGTATTCATGTATGTATGCATGCATGCATGCATGCATGCATGCATGCATATCTGCATGTATGTCTGTCTGCCTGTCTGTCTGTCTGTCTGTCTGTCTGTCTGTCTGTCTCTGTCTGTCTGTCTGTCTGTCTGTCTGTCTGTCTGTCTGTATGTATGTATGTATGTATGTATGCATGTATGTATGTATGTATGTATGTCGGAGGTTGGGGGGTGAATCCGACGTGAAACGGAGACTCCGCCTACTGGAACATCGATTTCGGTTTCGGGTTCGTGTCGTGCGTGCCGTGCGTGCGTGCGGGCGAGGCGAAGCTGCATGGGCGGGCGAGAGGAAATCCTCCTGTGGCTGGGCCGCGGCCGGACCAAATGTAACTCCTCCGGCGGCCGGTGCCGCGCGGCGTCCCGCCGGTGTCCCGCTGGTGTCCCGAAATCCTCCTGTGGCTGGGCCGCGGCCGGACCAAATGTTTCTCCTCCGGGCGGCCGGTGCCGCGCGGTGTCCCGCTTGTGTCCCGCCGGTGTCCCGTGGTGTCCCGTGGTGTCCCGTTGAGTGAGATCGATAGTGGGATCGATAGTGAGATCGATAGCGAGATCGATACTGAGATCGATGTGGTGCCCCGTGGTGTTCCGTGGTGTCCCGTGGTGTCCAACAAAGTGAGATCGATAGTGAGAGCCATAGTGAGATCGACAGGTGTCCCGTGGTGTCCCGTGGTGTCCCGTGGTGTCCCGTAGAGTGAGATCGATAGTGAGATCGATAGTGAGATTGATACTGAGATCGATGTGGTGCCCAAGGTGTCCCGTGGTGTCCCGTCGTGTCCCAAAACGTGAGATCGATAGTGAGATCGATACTGAGATCGACAGGGCTCCGGCCTGCCGGTGAGCCCGGCAGCGCCAGCGTTGGCAGGGGGCCTCGCTCGGACAGGTGTGGGCCTCTCGAGCCAAGCAGAGGTGGCTGTTTGGGGAGGTGCAGAAACGAGGGCGGGGGGCTGCCGGGCAGGGGCCCCCCGCGGCAGCGTCGGGCGCCACTGGCCACGCCCCCTGGCCGCGGGGAGGGGCTGCCGCGGGCTGGGCGCTAGGAGGCCCACCTGCGGGACATGTAAGTGCCCGCGCTGGGCGGCCCGGCGGGGCGCGCCGCCCGACCATGACGGGTGCGCGTCAAGCGGTCGGAAAGGAGGAAGGAAGGGACGGTCCGGAAGGGGAGAGGGGAAGAGGGAGGGTCTAGGAGCTCTGTTGTGTAGCGCTGCTGCCGTCGAGGATAGGCATGGCCTTGTGGATTCTGGCGGGATGACTAATTTTCAGGAGGAGGAGGAAGAGGAGGAGGAGGAGGAGGAGGAGGACGGAAAATAATGAGGAGGAGAAGAATGAGGAGGAGGATCGGGTGGCGGGAAAGAGGAAGCTGGGGTGGGGTTGAGGAGGAGGAACTTGCGTGCAGCAGTGGATGTGTCGTCACAGCTACGCACCCCAGGTCCAGGCAGCCGATGCGCTCTCCCGGTTTTCAATCCAGGTTATTGTCGCAATTGCGTTGTCGACTTGTTGTTCAAGTCGCGGTTCATGGCAGGAGTTTGTCTACTGCAGATCGGCATGTGCGGTGTTGCTGGTTTCCCCTGCGACCTTTGGATTCGCGACGTGATTTTTGTCATTCGTGGCCTCGTGGTGTCTCTGCGTGGGTGAAAGTTGGGAAGTCAGACTCCCCACTGGTTGGGTTTTGTCAGATTATCTGAAAAAGGTGCTGTTCAGACTCCGGGGCGCCCCCTGCCTCTGGGGGTTGGGGGTTGCTCCGACTTTGTCTCTCGCTGTCCGACTGTGTCTTCTGGCTCCTACCCCCTGCCTCCTTCTCGTGGTCTTCTCCTGGTAACAATTTGTTTATCGGGAAGCTGCGCACGCATGACGTGGCTGGCGGGGCGAGGGCAGAGTATACATGTGACCGCACGTCTTTCCAGCGCTCGGCCCTGATGCGGCAGAGCTCGATGGTTGTCCATCTGTGTATCCAGCATGTGGCTGCCACGCGCCCCACCATGTGCATCCAACCGTGTTTTTTCCAGTTCGCCCGTGTGGTTTGAACCGTGTTCGTCCAGAAACGCCCCCGCGGCCCGTATAGCAGGTCGAGGATCTCGGTTGACTTACGAATCGATTGATTTCGATCGGTCGATGCATACGGTTGTATATATACATATACATATACATATATGTGTATATATCTATATATATATATACATATATGCATGTGTGTATATATATATATATAGCGCGGGACTCGGCCCAACGGTCCCCCCTGAGCTGGAGCCTCGGCCGGCCACTGGTGTGCCGGGGGTCCCGTCAAGCTTACCGGGGTCACTGGGTGTCTTAGGGGGCCCACAAGCGGCCACCAAGTTCGCCCAAGACGGCTTCACAGAACCTTCCGATCGCCCCAGAACTGTTTATGAGTTTTCGCGCGGTGGCAGGCGTCAGGGCCACCCAGCCTTTGTGCGCCATGGTTTTCGGACAGGAGACCATCACTTGAGTTTTTCGGTGTATTTGGTTGTGTATTGTGCGTCGTTACTTTTCGCATCCGCGCAGGTCGAGGAGAGGACGAGGAGGACGAAACGGAGGAGGAGGAGGAGGAGGAGGAGGAGGAGATGACGAGGAGGAGGATGAGGAGGAGGAAGAGGAAACGGAGGAGGAGGAGGACGAGTGTTAACTCAAGATTCACCAGCGATGTTGGAATAAACAGTGCTTCCACACTCCCATTTCACGAGCCCCTACAACGGCTCATCTTCACCGAGGAAACTGTTCGTTGGGAAACAATTGTTTGAAGGCCCAGAAGCATGCCAAAACACCGATCTCTGGATTCTAACGCCACGCATCAACCTGAGGGTTGCGCGTTGGCGATCCTGAATTGTACCAGAACGCCGCTCTTGCGATTTCAACTCCGCGAACCAACGTAACTGATGCACCCTTACAACCCTGAGTCCTTCCACAATGCTATTTCTGGTACGTTGACCATGGGTATTTGTGAAACTTCTGCCGTTTGCGAAAACGAATGTGCGCGACTTCGAAGCTATAACCGCATTTAGAAAACGAGCCGCACTTTGTCCGTGAAGGTGTCGAAAATTCAGAAAACGATGGTGCGAGGCGCTAAAACGAAAACCACATTTTGAACACCAGCCGCCCTCAATCAGTGAAGCTCTTGCACTTTTTAATGAAAACGAATGTGCGCGGCACTAAGGCGAGAGCCACATTTTGAAAACCGCGCGTCCTCAATCCGTGAAGGTCTTGCACAGGTTTAAAACGAATGTGCTCGTCGTTAAAGCGGGAACCGCGTTTTGAAAACCACCCGTCCTCAATGTGTGACGCTATTCTCATTTTTAAGGTTCAGGGTCAGGAAGGTGAGGAAGTCTCAGGCGAAACTCCCGGCCCGCCCTTTCTACCGGCTTCGGGTTGCGACAGGGAGGAGTTATGTAAGGAGGAGGAGGAGAAGGAGGACGAGGAAGACGACGACGAGGAGGAGGAGGAAGAGGAGGAGGAGGAGTAGGAGGAGGATGAGGAGGAGGAGGAGGAGGAGGAGGAGGAGGTGGAAGCGAAGGCGGAGGCGGAGGCGGAGGAGGAGGAGGAGGAGGCGGAGGCGGAGGAGGAGGAGGAGGAGGAGGGGAGGAGGAGGAGGAGGAGGAGGAGGAGGAAAGAAGGAGGAGGAGGAGAAGGAGGAGAAGGAGGAGGATGAGGAGGATGATGATGATGATGAGGAGGAGGAGGAGGAGGAGGAGGAGCTGGAGGAAACACATTGGGGAAGGGAGTGGAAAGGGAGGGATGGAAGAGAGTTGAGGAGGGAGGAAAGGAGGGGGAGATGGGTTGGGAAGCAAGTGGGCAGGGAGGGAGACGGGCTTGGTAGGACGAGGAGGGGCGACCACGATAGGGCGTGCTGCCAGGTGATGAACAACTTGGTGTGCCTGGAGAAGAACTTCCCTGACGAGGCCTTCGGCTCCCCACCGCAAGCACATATCCAGATCCACCTCTTTTGGTTTGTGCCCCAGGGCCTCAGGGAATGGTGGATGTAGATACCTGCCCTCGCCAGGAGCCCAGAGATTCAAGTCAGGATTCCAGAAGTTGCGGACGCAGAAATTCGTTGGCGGTGCATTCGCTGTGGTTGGTCCAGGTCCGATGTTTGGTCGTGCTGACACCTTGGACTCCCTGGCCAGTGCCTGCTGGTGCTCGCACAGTCTGCCCGATCTCATACCCTGAGGTGCCCGCCTCCCAGGGCGGCAGTGCTTCGCATGCACATTCGTGCCCGTGTGATGGGAGGCTGCCTACTTATTCGTGGCTCCTTCGTTGGAACTTCGTCCGTCTCAGAGCTGCAGCGCGTCTGCACCAAAGTTGCACCGTGGCCCCCCCCCGATGGCGTGCGGGCGAGGGGGGTGGGGGGGAAACCAAGCGGTCGGGGAGAGGCCCCGCCTCCCAAGGGAGGGTCAGCTGCCCACGCGCCCCGCTACACTGCCGCCTCCTCGCAGCATGCCCCACCTGTCCACGATGAGGAGCCACGGTGACGACGACGACGACGACGACGACGACGGCGGTGACGGGCGACGGCGACGGCGACGGCGAACGACGACGGCGAACGGCGACGAAGAACGGCGAACGGCGAACGGCGAACGACGACGACGACGCCTCCCCTTATACCCCTTACTCGCCGCCGGCTCACGACGACGGCGGGCGTGGGCGCCTGCAAAGAACGACGACGACGACGGCAGGCCCTCGCGTGCCAACTCGATTATGCAACATACTTTAATGTCCCGCCTGCCCAGCACGAGTCGCCCGTTAAAGTCCGCCCGTCCGACCCGTCCCGCCTGTGAGGTTACGCCCGCCCGCCCGCGTCGTCGTGGTGGTCTTCGTCGTCGTCGTCGGCGATCCTCGGTCGTCGGACGTCGTTCATGGGTCGTCGGTCGGTCGGTTGGTCGTCGCCGTCGTTGTCGGTCGTCATCTGTCGTCTGTCGTCTGCCGTCTGTTGTCGGTCGTCGGTCGTCTGTCGTCATCGTCGTCGTCGTTCGTCGTCGGTCGTCGTTTGCCGGCTCCCGCCGTCGTCATTTACCTGCGGCGAGTAGGGGGTCAGGGGGGGTTCGAACCCACCCGTCCTTCCTTTGAATCAAGGAGGGGGCCGGGAGGGTTCGAGCCCCCCCCCACCCCCCTTGAATCAGGGAGGGGGGGGTGGTTTAGGGGGGGCCCAGGGGGAGGGGAGTCTCCCCGTGTTTTCCCAGCGCGGGGGATGTCTGGGGGGGGAGCCCCCCCCGGCTCCGACGTGTCGTGGGATGTTCCCAAAGCAAGCGGCAAACGCCCGTGAGACGCGCTCCCTCCTATGCGTGTAGCCCCTAGTGTGTGGAACCCTAATCTGTTGAACCCTATGTGTGTTGAGCCCGATGTCTGGACACTTACGTGAAGAGGCCTGTGTGTGTGTGGAATCCGACATGCAGTCGCGATGCGCAAGCCGATTTTTTAGTCGGGCCTGTCCCCCTACAGGGGGATTTTGGACGAAGAATAAAAGATGCCCCAATATTAGCTTCAAACAATAGTCCAAAAATAGGCTGGGGACTAGTTTTTGAATATTTTTGTCCATGTTTTAAAATAAAAAAGGAATACATTTTTCGCCCAAAATCCCCCTGTAGGGGGACAGGCCCGACCTAAGCCTATTTGTGGAACCCTCTTCCTCCTCCGCTCTGCCCTGCCGCCTGGTGTCTCGACCCCGGCTCGCCACCTGCGCGCAGCTGGGAGCACCGCTCACCCGCGCAGCAGCACGGAGAAGGTCAATTCCTGCTACAGCGCGACCGGCCGCACTGCCCGCCGATGGGACTCTTCGGCGCGCTGGAGGAGATGTGTTTGTGTGTGTGTGTGTGTGTGTGTGTGTGTGCGTGTTTGTGTTTGTGTGTGTATGTGTGTGTGTGTGTGTGTGTCTGTGTGTGTTTGTGTGTGTCTGTGTGTGTGTGTGTCTGTGTGTCTGTGTGTCTGTGTGTCTGTGTGTTTGTGTGTGTGTGAGTGTGTGTGTGTGTGTGTGTGTGTGCGGGCGGGCGGGCGGGCGGGCGGGCGTGCGAGTGTGGGTGCGTGTATGCGTGTATGTGTGTGTGCGTGCTGTGACACCACGCGGACAAACAAGTGGGCACGCGGTGCCATCGCGGCCTTGGGTTTCACACGTGCTTCCCGCACATCGAAAGACAGTTCGGGTAGTCGCGCCGCCTCCCAATCGTACTGCATGTGTCTCTCCTCGGGTCCTCCCCTTTTTTCCCCCGCAATGCTCTACAACATTTAGGGCCGTGTGATGTCTTTCGATGCGTCTGTTGTCACGAGGGGCGACTGTTGGGTGTCGTGGTCTCTCTCTCTCTCTCTTTCTCTCTCCTCCTCTCTCGCTTCTTCCTCCCCCTTCAAACCAACGCTATCAGCAAACGTCTCAGCTTAACCAGCGGCGACCTGCTTTGGACATGGTGAGCAAGCGGGAGTGCCGTAACACGTAAGAGAGCGAGGTCAGGGAGGTAATGTTATCGTTCAAGAGACCCTGACACATGTTTGGTTGGTGGGCTGGTAGAGTCCAGAACGACACTTAGAGACGACATTCGCCAGGCAGTGTGATAATGATGGTGGTGACGATGATCATTATGATGACGAGAAGACGAGGAGGAGGAGGAGGAGGAGGAGGAGGAGGAGGAGGAGGAGGAGGAAAAGGAGGAGGAGGAGGGGAAGGGGAAGGAGGAGGGAGAGGAGGAGGATGAGGAGGAGGAGGCGGAGGAGGAGCAGGAGGAGGAGGAGAAGGAGAGAAACGAAGAGGAGCAGGAACACGAGGAGCAGGAGGAGGAGGAGGAGGAGGAGAAGGAGGAGTTGGAAGAGGAAGCAGGATACTGGCTGAACGTCGTTTCATGCATCGCAGTCAACTTCATGTTTCTGCCTGCATGGTCTTCTTCGCAGCTTTCTACTCATCATGCTGCTGCAGCTCCTGTTGCTTCCCGCCTGCACGTCCTCCTGCTTTCCCTGCTGCTGTTCCTCATCCCTCTTCTGCTTACCCTTCTCTCCTAGATCAACCTGGACCGCATCAAGGGGACCCGCGCCAAGAAAACCCACACCACAGCCTCCGACGAGGCTGTGGAGCTCATGGAGGCAGACTACTATCAGGATTGCACCAGCGGCGAGGGATGGGGGATGATGAGGAGGTGGATCCGCGAGGGGGGAAGCGGTTCATGAGGGAAGCGGGTCCTGAGGTTTTTCGCCGTTTTCGAGCTCTCGGGGCCCTCCACGGGCCCCGGGACCGTCCGAAAACGACTCAGGCTGAAGACCTCGTCCGGGCGGAAGGCCCCAGAGTCCAGGACCCGTTTCCCACAGGACCGCATTCCCCCCGTGCCAACGGGTGCGGAGGAGGCATCGGGAGGCCGGTCGGCCATCGAGCTGCTACCCCCGCTGCGGTGGAGTGATGGGCTTGTTTTCCACCACCGCCACCAGAAGTTGGAGAGAAAGGAGGTGGAGGACGAGGAGGAGGAGGAGGACGAGGAGGGGGAGGACGAGGAGGAGGAGGGGGAGGAGGAGGAGGAGGAGGAGGAGGAGGAGGAGGAGGAGGAGGAGGAGGAGGAGAAGGAGGACCCCCTCCCTCTCCAACTGATGGTGGTGGTGGTGGAAGGCAGGCTCCTCGTGGCGCGGTCTCGGCCCGGCAGGCCGAGGCGTTCCCCACCGGACCTCTGCGGGGCTGCCGTGCTGCGGGCAGGCGGCATCCGTGGCCCCCACCCATATGAGGGGCAACGAGAAGGGGGGGGGATAGAGGCACAGGGGGGGGGGGAGGACGAAGAGGAGGAGGAGGACGAAGAGGAGGAGGACGAGGAGGAGGAGGGGGAGGAGGAGGAGGAGGAGGAGGAGGTGGAAGTGGAGGAGGAGGAGGTGGGGATAAAGGCACAGGGGGGGAGGAGGAGGAGGAGGTGGGGATAAAGGCAGTAGGGGTCATGAGCGAAAGAAGGACGTACGCGTACATGAATCCACGCTGGTTTCGAGTACGCATTGTGCAAATGTTCGCATAACGCGGCCGGTCTCGCGGATCGAGGGGCCGTGTTCACGTACGTAGCTGGGCGCGTACGTCCTTTGTGGCCTCCAGAAGGGGGGATGAGGCCTCCAGAAGGCGGCAGCTGTGGCCCCCACCCATATGAGGGGCAACGACAGGGGGGGATAAAGGCACTACGGTGCCGTTTTTAAATGCATGCTCCGCGTGCGGATCATGTATTACAAATGCAGGGATCCAGTACTAAAAACAAGGATGATGAGTTCATACATAAAATTGTCCATCGATAAATCATGTATTAAAAATCCTATATTTTTAAACTCCGATGTATTAAAAACTGCCCTGTACGGGGGGGGGGGATGCACCGACTCCCGATCGCCCATGGATCGCCGATAAGGGGCCCGATGGCCCCAACCGGCCCAGGAGGGTGCGGATGCACTCTCGGGGGCCTGTCGCCGAGCCATCGGCGATGTTATCGCCGATTCCAGGTCGATGCATCCCCCCCCCATGCCAGTCCCCCCCCCCTATCGTTGGCCCCCACCCGCAGGGCAGGAGGACGTGCTCAGCGTGCCGCAGGGCCGCCCCGCCGCGACACGCCGAGCACAGCTCCCGACCGTAAAACTCCCGTGGGGGCCCGCGCGGGCTTCCTTTTTGGGTCGGGGCTGGGCCTCTCTTTGCCAAGTCAGGAGGGAAAAAAGCACACAGACACAATGAATCGTCGATCCCCCAGAAAACATGGGAAAATATGGGAAGTGGTGGGGAAGGCAGAAACCCAGAAAATATGGAAAAATATAGGAAATGGTGGGGAAGACAGAAACCCAGAAAATATGGGAAAATATGGGAAGTGGTGGGGAAGACAGAAACCCATAAAATATGGGAAAATATGGGAAGTGGTGGGGAAGACAGAGACCCAGAAAATATGGGGAATATTTCCATTTGTGTGTATTTATTTGTGTGTCCTGGGGCCCCTTCATTTGCGGCGCCACCGGCGCCGCCCCTGGCGCGCTCCGCGCGGGAGGCGTGCGCCAAGGCCGACCGAAGAAGTCCGCGCGAACCTCCAGAAGTTTACGTACAGATGTCGCCGCGCCGTTCGTTCCGACGCGCGGCCTTGCGTCTCGGGGAGGGCGACGCGGCCACCAGGGCAAACGCCGCCTCGGACGCCAGTCTTGCCGTGGGTTCGCCGTGGTGTCGGCTTCGTGCACTTGGGTGCGTTGAGAACCAGCGGCGCGGCGACAAGTGATGCATAGTAATGAGGTGGTCGGGCAGCCCATCAGCAGGTTTGTTGCTCAATGGGGCCTTCCACGGCAGTCCGCGGCGAGACTCCGTACAATCCTGTGGAATTCTGTCAAGGGCGTCCTTCGAGAGAAGCGGCCGAGCGGAAGCAGAACAGGGCTGGAGCGGGGGCAGCGATTGGAGAGCGACCGCTTTGCAGCATTCCTCGGGTGTTGCGAGGGTCATAACAGAGTGACAAGACACACATTGTAGTGTATTCGTTTCTCGAGCCGTACTTGTAGATATGGTATTTGCAGGCTCACCAGCCTGAAGGCCCACATAGGTGCCAGCGGACTCCTGGGACTAACCCTTGGCGTTGAGCCCCGAGGTTTTCCCCCGAGGCCAAATTTGAAGATTATTTCCTTGGGTTGGCTCCTAGGGCCAAATCCTTTGTGCAACTCTCGAGGCCAACTTAGGATCTTGCCTTTGTTTATTTGAATTCGTATGCGAGTTACGTAAACACTTTCCGAGGTCAAGTGCCGCGGCCATCTTTTCCGATGTGCCCCTTGGGGGCTGAGGTATAGTTCTGGGGTCATTTGCAGCAGACCCCCACCGAGATGGACCAACGCAGATCACCCGCCGGGGCGCGAAAGTAATCGCGAGTCTCGCGGTCACATGTGGAGGGTTGCACTCATCCAGGGGCGGTCGCGGGGGCGCGAGTGCAACCACGCCTGCCTGGCGCCTGGGGCTTCGCGAAGCGCAAAGGTTCGGTGACCGCAGGAGTGCGAATGGGATCTTGCAACACGCAGGTGCCAGCCGAGCTCGAGCAGTGGCCATCCCGCTGGCCGCTCGTCGGAGGAGGGCAAGGTACCGATACTGCTACTCTTCGCTCGCTTTCGCTTTTTTGGGGCCTCCTGCGAAGCTCTCATGGCCTCCGCTGGATGCGCGTCGAAAGTCTGGCTGGAACGCGCCCCGGGAGAGGTCCGGGGAGTTGCGGTATCGGTGCTTTTTTGGTTCCCCCATGATCTGACCCACCGACCGCCATGGCACTCGTCGCATTTGCCGCCGCCGCTGCGCCCATGCCAGCTGGGGCCGTGTGCGCGGGCTGCCTCGGCCGTGGCGAGATGCCACCGGAGAGGTGGCGCCGTTGCCATGGTGGCTCGTCCGCCGCCCTGGCCTACGCCGCCTGCGCGCCCCGGCAGGCTCGGGGGCGCGCACGAGGGGGTGGCGCAGGGGGGAGGCCTTCGACGAAGGCAGTGGGACTTCTGCTCAGAAGGCCCGTGGGGCTCCTGAGGGCTTCTGGCAGGGCTTCTCGGAAGGCTCCAGGCCATTCTGAGGGGGCCCCTGCCTCGTAAGAAGCACCCCGCCTGCTTCGAGGGCCCCTCCCCGCTCGCGCCACCCCCGGTGCGCGCCGCGAGCAGACGCGCTTCCATTCGTGCTGTGTTGGATCGGTTCTTCTCGGCTGTGGCGCCCCAGCTGTGAGGAACGCCACGGGCAGGAACCGGAGCAGGCGCCGGAACGTGAGGAGGAGGAGGAGGAGGAGGACGACGAAGAGGAGGACAAGCGCGAAGGGGGGAGTGTAGTCGCAGGACGAGGAGAGGAGATGATGAGGGAGCAGGCGGATGAGGGGGGGGCGAGGATAACTGAGGCGGAGACAGAAGGGGATGCATTTGGTGATGATTACGGCGATGATGATAATGATGATGTTGATGATGAAGGTCTAGGAGGAGGGGCGAGGAGGAGGAGCATGGGAAGAATAGGAGGCCGACGATGAATATCATGAGTGCATGGAGTGGGGTGCGGAGAGAACGGAGGCGGATGGGGAGGGAGGAGGAGGATGAGCAGGAGCATCTGCGGTGGCAGCATCTTCGTCTGTAGCACCAGTAGCAGGGCAGCAATTTATTCCTGATGAGAAGCACAAACAGGAGGAGCACGATGCTGATGATGACGATGCTGATGATGATGCTGCTGATAATGATGCTGATGATGCTGATGATGCTGATGGTGACGATGATGATGATGATGTTGATGATGATGATGATGATGATGATGATGATGATGATGATGCTGCTGATGCTGATGATGCTGATGATTGTGGTGATGGTGATGATACTGCTGACGATGAGGATGATGATGTTGCTGATTATGATGCTGATTTTGATGCTGCTGACGGTGATGATGATGCTGATGATGATGCTGATGGTGACGATGATGTTGATACTGATGATGATGCTGATGATAATGGTGATGATGCTGTTGCTGCTGACGTTGATGATGATTCTGATGATGATGCTGATGATGATGGTGATGATGATGATGATGATGATGCTGATGATGATGATAGTGTTGTTGCCGATGATGATGGTGCTGGTGATGCAAATGCTGGTTCTGATGATGAGGATCATGATGATGATGATGATGATGATGATGATGATGATGATGATGCGGATGATGATGTTGATGATGCTGTTGATGCTGATTATGATGGTGATGCTGATGCTGATGATGCTGCTGCTGATGATGCTGAGGCTGATGATGATGCAACTGATGATACGACTGATGATACGAATGAAGAAGAGGTGGGCGATGATGATGGTGCAGATGATGATGATGCTGATGCTGATTATCATTATGATGGTGGGGAGTGTGATGGTGGTGATGCTAACGATGATGACGATGCTGATACTAAGATGATGATGCTGCTACTTATGATGAGGATGACGATGATGATTATGATTATGATGTTGATGCTGATGGGGGTGATGCTGATAAGTATGATGAGGATGGGGATTTGTGTGGTGCTGCTGATGTTGATTATGATGATGTTGATGTTGGTGATGAGGATGAGGATGAGGATGAGGATGATGATGATGATGATGATGATGATGATGATGATGATGATGATGTTGATGATATTGATGAAGTTGTTATTGCTGTTGTTGTTGTTGTTGTTGTTGTTGTTTTTGTTGTTGTTGTTGTTGTTGTTGTGAGGTTGGATTGCGATTAGTATGACGCATGTCATGCCTATGATGATGATGGTAAGGAGAAGGTGAGGAGTAGATACCAGGATGAGGGCAGTCGTGAGAAAACTACGAGATGGACGCGATAGGACATGCCGATCCTGCCGACCTCCAACGAGATGCTCGGACAGTGCGCGTTCGAAATCCAGGACCGAACGCTTGGACTGTGACAGGCAGGCCTGGTTCTTGATGCAGGGGGGGTGGGGGGGGGGGCAAGCAGATGAGTTGCAGTATCATGGCGACAGGGCAGCCGCGTACACAGGGGTTGATCGAGCAGCGCAGCACCTCAGAGAGCGAGGGCGTCCGAACGTGGCCAACCTATACGAAGTGCGGCTCGAGCCACGTTTAGTCAGCACCCGCTCGCCATGCCCCCCCCCGTCTTCCCTGCGCGCTCGTTTTTTTTTTCGGGCCTTAAAATGCTACAGCCAAGCACGGTGCCTGCGCATGTTAAAGCGGTTTGAGGGACAGGAGAAAGGTTGCATTATGATCAGCGAGGAAGGAGTCTGATGGGAAACGGGGTGGTGGGAAGGGGTGTCGGACATGTAAAACTTATTGGGATGGTGGGACCGCGGGAGTTGTTGGGATGTGAGTGCGAGGAGATGGGGCGGGGGGGTGGGGCGGGAGGGGGGGGGCGGGGGCGTGGCGTGGTCTGCTTGAGCAGCTGTACAGCGATCGTGCAATACGTTAGCATGGCGATGAGAAGGACGCGATGTGTTGAACGTCGAACCGCACTGCCGATTGTACCAAGTAGCGAGGAGAACATGCGCACCTACGACAAGTGCGAGGACTTCATCCAGACGCACTTCATGCTGCTGCGAGAGGCCTCCTAACGGATGATGATGAGGAAACTATGGTGATGAGACAGAGGAGGAGGAGGAGGAGGAGGAGGAGGAGGAGAATGTGGAGGAGGGAGATGAGGGAGATACTAATGTCCGGGTTGGTGTTGATATTGATGAAGATGATGATAATGCTGCTGCTGATGATGCTGCTGATGATGATGCTGCCACGGTGATGATGATGCTGATTACGATGATGATGCTGCTGCTGTTGCCGCGATGATGCTGCTGATGCTGCTGATGATGCTGATGATGGTTATGATGCTGCTGCTGCTAATGATGCTGATGAAGTCCATGGTGGTGATGCTTCGGATGACGACGATGATGGCCTTGTTGATGTTGATGATGGTGATGATGGTGGTGGTGGTGATCATGATGCTGATGATGCCGAAGGTGGTGATGAACATGCTGATGATAATGATGATGCTGGGAATGATGATCATGCCAAATCTTATGATGATGGTGATGATGAAACTGATGTTGATGACGCTGATGCTGAGGCTGATGACTATGATGACGGTGACGATGCTGATGATGATGCTGATTACGCTGATGCTGATGCCGATGATGATGCTGATGCTGCTGCTAATGATGCTGGTGATACTCATGATGATGCTGATGACCATGACGACGATGACGATGCTGATGATGATGATGATGATGATGCTGATGATGATGATGATGATGATCGGATGATGATGACGATGATGCTGATGATGATGCTGATGAGGATGATGCTGATGAGGATGATACCGGCGATACTGATGCTGATGCCGATGCTGCTGATGATGATGATTCTGCGGATGATGATGATGCTGATGCTAATGATGATGATTCGGATGACGCGGATGGTGATGATGGTGATGACGTTGGCAATGTCGGCGATGATGCTGATGCTGCAGATGATGATGGTGATGATGGTTTCGTTGTTGATGATGATGCTGCTGATGATGCTGCTACTGCTGATGATGCTGACCACGATGACGATGGTGATGATGATGATGATGATGATGCTGATGTTGATGATGCTGCTGCGGATGAGGACATGTGGATGAAGATGATGGTGACGCCGATGATGATGATGCTGATGATGCTGATGATGCTGATGATGGTGGCGCTGATGCTGATGCTGATGCTGATGCTGCTGCTAATGCTGATGTTGATGATGATTATGATTATCATTATTATTATTATTATGACGGTGATGCTTCTGCTGATGCTGATACTGATGCTGATCATGATGTTAGTGACAATGATGACGATGATGATGCTGATACTGATGATGGTGATGATGATGATGATGATGATGCGGCTGCTGATGATGATGCTGATGATGATGCTGCTGATGATGCTGATGATGATGACGTTGTTGATGATGATGATACTTCTGCTGCTGATGATGATGATGATGAAGAGGAGACGGAACAGGAAGACGAGACGGAGGAGGATGAGAAGGAGGAGGAGGAGGAGGGGGAGGAGGAGGAGGCGGAGGCGGAGACGGATGATGATGCTGATGATGATGATGATGATGTTGCTGCTGTTGATGATGATGATGGTGATGATGATGATGCTGGTGATGAGGATGATGATGATGATGATGATGAGGATGATGATGATGATGATGATGATGATGATGATGTTGCTGCTGTTGATGATTATGATGGTGATGATGATGATGCTGGTGATGATGATGATGATGATGATGATGCTGATGATGATGATGATGATGATGATGATGATGATGATGATGATGATGAT